TTCCTTGAGGCGTTTCAGCTCGTTCTGGACGGCTTCAAATTCGGGACTTGAGCGCCACGTCTGATGCCAGTCAACCTTTGACTCGCTCCCTGGAGAATCGCCAACGGCCTCGAACATCCATTCGGCTGGGTTGACACCAGGAGGGCAGGCCGGCGCTGAATATCGTTCGAAATACTCGGTCAGGGTTTTAGAATTCTCTCCAATATCACCTTGTGCATACCGTTAGCTCATTGTATAATGTATTGGAACACACCAATGATTGCACTTACCAAAATATACGGTTCTCCCATTCTTAGACAAGAAGAGCAGTCTATCAAATCTTTGGAAGAGCATGGCCGAGGGTTGGTGGATTGTGCAAAGAATGGACTGTCCAGCTTTCGAAAGCTTCTCTAGCAGGTTGAGAATAGCCCAACTGGTTTGGGAATCAAGACCTGAAGTAGGCTCATCAACGAAAAGAAGTAGAGGCGGCTTGGCAGCCAGCTCAACACCAATCGTGAGGCGTTTGCGCTGCTCGATGTTGAGACCCTCGCCCAACACACCGACAATTGCATCCGCGTATTCTTCCATGTCTAGCAATTTGATGACCTCATCGACGTATGCGAGCTTTTCTTCCCGAGTGTTCGATTCAGGTTGGCGGAGAAGTGCTGAGAATTCCAATGCCTGTGTTGTAACATTGTTAGATCGTTCTGCGTAGAGAAACTGGAGGGTTCTGTTTTTCGTTTGCTTACCTCTCTGACTGTGCTTGTCTCCAGATGAAGATCTTGCTGTTGAACATAACCCGTCTTTCTCTGAAAGCTTTCATCGCGGATATGGCCGTCAACCAGCATCTCTCCCGTGATGACACCAGCGCCCAAACGGGCAGCCAGGCAATCCAGCAGAGTTGTTTTACCTGCGCCGGAGACTCCCATCAGAGCTGTGAGTGTGCCTGGCTTGACCCAGCCATCAACGTGATCAAGGATGCGCCGGGTTTCCTTCTTAATCTTCAGATCGTAGCATACGTTACTCCAGTGGAAAACGCTCACAGAAGCTTGAATGGTCCTATCAACACTGGATGAAGATCCCTCAAACTGCTTGGTCACTGGCACTGGGCGGGGCAGAGACTTCTCGACATCAGTTCTATCCTTGGTATGCGAAGCAGGCACAAAACCTCGCCTGAACACAAGCACTTCGCCCTTGGATTTCTTGGCGGTGATATACTCGCTGGCAACAAAGTACACAACATGATTGAAAATGATCATGGCGATGACGATTCCCACGTTGCGCCACTTATGGGCATGATAGTAGCTGTAAGCAGTGTTGATGTAGTCCTCGCCGTTGACATAGGACCGGCCTGGAACGGCCCCGATGGCACCACAAGCCGCACTTGCGCGGTCGGCATAATCAGGGACGTAGGTAGTGCAGGGGAAGTCACGGCCGTGGAACTCATTGACCATCAGAGATTCAAAGCCATATGCGACGGGGTTCAGGTAGCTGATCCAGCGGCACCATGACAGCATGTAGTCGATGGGCATGACGAAACCGGTGAATATGATGAGAGAGAGCATAAGGATGGCTGCGGGTATCATGGCCTGATATAAGGTTCGGGATAACGCGGCTCTTGGAGAATCGTTAGCAGATAGCATGAAGTTGAAACAGGTGTAAGGACACGTACATTGACCTGAAAACCCCAGACATGGCCAATGTGACAAGAAACATGACGAACATATAAAAGAAAAAGGGCCCGGGTTGGCGATTGAGATTTGTCATGAAATAGAAGACGCTGTTAAAGACAATGTTGTTGAGAACTTTGATAGGTAGGTCGAGCAATACAGAAGAATACGATTCGGCTGAAGGGTGATAGAATGCATAACGATTCTGCTTTTCGACAATGGGTCGTTGATCATACAGAGTAAAGATCTCGAGCATTGAGGCGAAGGCATTGGAGATAATGGTCATGAACAGGACACAGCTGCGGCCGTAGAACGAGTCTGTGTTCAGCCCTAGGTTGTAGAATAGCGATGAGAGGATAAGCCCTATAACGAGGTTGCCGATGGACATGCCAACAGGGATCCCGGGGTCTGCTAGGAGACGTCTATAGCCACGCCAGAGACAAAGCATGACTTGTTGAGAATAGCTTAGCATGAAAGGAGAGTTCAGTCGTTGGCCGTGGGCCTGCACTGATTTCTTCTGCTCCCGGAAAGTCAGGGCATCTGAGCCGCCAATAGGATACTTGATTTGGTACTCTTCCATTTGTATCTTGAGTTCTCGATATTCCTGACTCGCCTTCCAAGCAGCTGCGAAATCCTCTGGTGTTTGAGGAGGTTTGAAGCCAGGGCGGGGTACACGTTCTGAAGGCGAGGTCATTGATGTCAAGAAATCAGGCGTTGTCTGCCGAGCATGAGGCTCGAATCCAAGGTTCATGAAATATTGCTTGGCCTTGAATGCGGGGCCAAAGTATATCTGCCGTCCTTCGTAGATCACCATGGCCTTGTCAAATAAGTCGAATGCGGCTTGTGGTGCCTGATAAATCGATACCGCACACGATTGTCCGAACAGCCGAGACTGCAGTCGAAGGGTCTTGCAAAACTCGATCGCGTTGGCAGAATCAAGGCCACGTGTTGAGCTAGAGACATGAGTTAGAGATATGATAGAGTGTGTAGAAGAGGTGGAAGGATCAACGTACTTGTCCCAGCACTGAAATGGGGCGTTTGCCAAAGTCGACTCGGCGATAGTGACTCGTTTTCGTTCACCTCCTGAGACGCCTCGGACAAAGTCATTACCGACTTTGGAGTTGAGAGTATGACTGATGCCATACAGGGCCATCACTACATCGCGAAGGTGCTCACAATATCTGTCATGAAAAGGTAAGTGCATAGAAGAGTGGTAGGGGATCTCTTGAACATACTTGTCTTTTGAAATACCCGGCGGTAATGATCTTGGACAGCGAGCTTGAGAAGCAAATTGCAAAGTCTCACCGACTGTGAGTTTAGGAAAGTGAACATCTGTCTCGGCAGTATAGATAGTCTCGCCCCTGTGAGCGGTATGCATCTCCTGTGATGAAATACCCTGATAGTTGAAGTGTGAGTCCTCGGAAATGTGAATTCCATTTGTTTCGCCCGCAATGGATTTCAGAAATGTCGAACACCCTGATCCAGGCGGTCCCAAGACAACGCACATCTCCCCGGGGTTGATAATACCGTCCATGTCATGTAAAATGTCAATGCGTCGGTCGTTCGTCGAATGAAGGAACAGGCGACGGATCATATTGGGCAGCGCAAGCCACACATTGGCGACATCCTTCTGGAAATCGATCGGAGTGCCAAAACCGAAGACACTCATGTTTTGGAAGCAGAGACCGGTTTTCCGGAATGGAGTGTTGGAGGATTTGGCAGCATTTACTACCGTCCTCGCCCAGGCTTTTGCATCGAATTTCTCTCCATGGGGATTCAAAGGGGAGTTCGGGTCAATGCTGACGAGGGCTGGGTGCTCATTACCAAGTGTAGACTGGTCAGAGAATTGTCGAGCAAGGCTTTGGACAATCGAATGGCGCTGGTTCATGTTTTGAAAACTGCTCCCAGCAATAACTCCCGTCTTCTCGACTTCAACATTAGGGGTCGACGCCAGTGTCGAAGACGTTGCTGGCGGGTTGGCGGCTTCCTGTTGCTTCATGACGAGGGAGCTCGTGTTACGAGCGTGAAGAGACAGAAAGAGTGCAATTCAGCTGAGCAACCAATTTCGTTTGGCCCAGGTGTCAAATTACCTACCGGAGTAAAAAACAAAATGATACTCTTATATGTTCGGCCTGCTTGGTTAGGAGAAACGGACATTATGTTCTCGGCCGAAACATTCAGTCAGCGGAGACGGACATAGCAACTCGCGCATGACGATCGCGGAGCACGACTGAGAAGCGAAATTTGATTCGTTTCCAGGGTACAAACAGGCCCGAATTCCTTCAATTCGCTTACTAGGCCCCTTAGAAGTCTAAAGCTTGTTCAACATCTCATTTCCGGGGTGGCATCAGTGAGGCTGGCTGCTGAAGGTTTTGAGTACCGACATGGATGACGGATCGGCTCAGGATGACATGAAATTGGACGTCTTAGACACTTTTCATGATAATACTTCTTTGCCAATGGCTTTAATTTTCGCTAACTAAGTTAGCGGTGATTCCGGGGTGGGAAACAAACCAGCAGGCCTGTAGAGCGTCGAACAGTCTGCTGTCGCTGAATACCGCCCTTCTTGTGCGAGCACCATATCTCCGTGTCGGTAATATTTCCGCCTTTGGGATTAAGGATCCCCCTGGCATATCCCAATTATGATGATGGCACAGTACAAACGCTAACTACAAGCACACGTACTTAGCTTATTCTAATTCTAGGTGGTGAGAGAGGCCTAGTCAGCTAAGTCCAATGCTCGTAACACCAGGGGCGTGGACTAAATTATTCATTGCAAAACGAGATACGTATTTTGAGCTTTAATGAAAACACATAGGCAAATATTAATGAAAAAGTCCGACAGAGGTCAGAGTCACCGACTACCAGAAAAGGTTCCCCATTGTTGCTACTCCTGTTCAAACAACGTCATATACCGGTAGCACTAGGAGTTGTCGGTCGTTCCTTCTTTTCGAGTCCTAAACTTCCCAGTCGTTCAACACATAACGCACGCGGTAGACTATTCACCCTCTCCCTCTCTTGCGTTGATTTCTTCACCCAGACCCGGACAGGCCCAATATAGAAGGCTAGCAAGTATCGAAGATTCCCCTAAGAGCTCCAAGCGACATCCATTCAAACTAGAGGCAAATCAACATAAAAAATTGGGTGCTCGAGTTCGCAGGTACGATCAAACTCTCACGCTGCTTCGTTCATAGACTGCCACCACCTCTGATTCCTGCTATTTTGTTGATGGTTCTCCCGCTGGTGTCGGCAGTCTTCCGGTACATCGCCCTGTTGCTGGCTGTCAGCTGCTGCTACTGGTGCTTGAGGTTGTTGGGCTATCTGCCCCCCATTGTGAGTGGCCGTACTTACCTACTGCTCCTTTTTCACCGCAGCTGTAACAGCTTGGATCATTTCAAGGAGAGGTGCACGGAGCTCTTTGTCCTTTTTCTTAAGATCCCGCACCTCCTTCTTGAGATTATCTATTTTTTTATCTTTGTTGTCCAATTCTCCTTGATCGTCTTCCGACGAGCTATCGTAGCGCTTCTTCTGTCGGCTTGCTGAGGCACGAGGGCTCGTTTGGGTAGAGTAAGGATACCGGATGTCCTGTCGCGCATCAATGGGTCGTGAGTAATCGACTTGCTGTTGGCCAAGAGAAACTTGAGATAGTTTATCATGGAGTCTCAGGACGGATTCGACACCAAATCTAGCAGCAATAAAGAAGACATAGATGAGGAAGACAATAACAACTGTAATAAAAATCTACAGCAGTTTAGTTAGGATGTTTGACGACACGAGATGCTGGAGGGCCGTACTTGAAAGTGATACTCCGAGTCTGTTGAGGAAGACATCTTGGGAAATCTCCTTGGTGGAGTGCCTTCCGGGTTCCCTGTTATAGGTTGCTTTAATAGAGACAGATTATTATCGGAATGCGCGGCGCAGTGGTAGCCCGTATATGGTAAATAGTTTGATTATATAGGAAGTTAAGAAATGTAGAAACTTCTCCTATTCCAAGGAACGAGCGCCTCATTTTATAGTAATGAAGCAATCAGATGCCAGAGAGTAATCCAGTCCGTCTCTCGCGTAGACAATATCGCGTAAATGCAATAGAACCCAAGAAAACAGTTTGTTGGCGATATTAACAGAAGAACACGTCAACTCACAGCCGGTGAAGGGCATGTCATTGGACGAGAATTGTCCGCGATCAGTTGTTGGACTGAGCGGGTTGGAAAGTAGTGGAGGGTGATTGGTCTTACGTGCTTTACAGGCCACGCCAAAAGCTTGACCGAGATTCAGCTACGACGTTAAAACTTGAAATTCCCATGCAGATATTGATGTTGGCATGCAGAATGCTGGATTTAGATGTGAGGTTGCACTAACTGCTCAATGGGGTAATAAAGCGAGCAAGATGCGTTGCACCATAAACTGTTTTGAGCATCTCCCTCATCTTATCGGCATATCAAGTGAACTGCAAGCGAACAAGCGGCCTAATGGGATCATAACACGGAAGCATAATATCCAGTCCAGGGTATCATCCAAGCCAGAGGTCTGTCATGCTCGGACTTCGGGGTATCTGTTTCGCCCGAAACTCCATTGTGAAGATATCTCTTACTTTTCAGTCCAGAAATACGAAGGCTTCCTTTCTTCTTCTCAAACTTTGTGGAAGTATACGAGAAAGCTAACAGACTTCTCCTACTAAGTGCGAGGGAGTGTAGAGATAACCGACAAGAGGTTAAAGCACTTTAATCATCTGTTCATTAAAGAAACCATATTAGTAAAGCTTACAGCATAATGTCCGGCATTTTCGTGTACAATTTGGCTCCCATTAGGATTCATCATCACATTTATTAAAGCTTGCAACTCAACATTGATTGCGTGCCTCAATGAGTTTCTACAGGACCTAATAAGCCAGCTAGAGTTAAACCTCAGCAACTTATATGAAGGTTCCAATCGCATGTCTGTAAAATTTGGCCAACGCAGGTATTCCAAGATTAACCTAATGAGCTGCGATGGTAATGTTTCTGGTCGATATTTGGGGATGCAAGCTAATGCGATCATAGTCAAGTCTGTAAAGGACGAGCATTTAAACATTCCAGCTGACTAAACTGACCTTGTTCGTATTGGCGCGAATTGAAGCTGACGCAATCAAAGAGGACTTGACAAGCCGAGGATTTTCGCGATGCGCGACAGGGTCTTGATCGCATGACAGGATCGGGGCTGGCTCGATCAACCGATTATTCTGGAAGCCTGCCATTTCTGAAGCTCTCAGGGGTCTCCGTCACATTTCGATACGCGGCGTCCAATCCAGTGGCCACCGGACATTTCAATCGACGAAGGTCCGAGAGAAGGCTTGGCAGTATATCTATGCAGACGCGCTCACACAATCAAACTTTAACGTGTTGTGGTGACGCGTCCGGCCTTGTCCGAAGCGTCTTGGCGTCTTTGGGTTTGCTTTCTACTTTTTGCCATGTGAAGCTCCCAAGGTTCTGTAACGGCCGCTACGTTTGGTCAAGAAATTTTCACCACTGGCCTCCTTTAGGGATGGGCCCTCCCGTGTTGACGCCACTTGATCGTAGCGTTGTTGGAGAAGAAGAAACACTTACGTAGGATGAGATGCAGGCCCGATTGCGGGGGAACCGATCTCCAATATTTGCGTGTAGGGCCGGCTGAGAGACTGACAAGCAAGCCCAGGATGTTAGCTCAGGGAGCACGTGAGCTAGCTGGATGCCTTACAGACATCAAACGTGCATCTAGGCTGGAAATAGAACGCCCAGGGACAGAGTTTGTCCGTCGGCATCATCTCGGGTGAGGAGAGGAGGGAGCTGATCAGCTGAGGAGCTGAGACGGGTACGCCGTCCGCGGAAAGTGATTGGCCGCGCCGCACTTTTGGCATGACACCCTGAAATTGGGATTTGCTGTGGCGGAGCCCTGCCTGATCGTATGTGTATACGCGTAGTAGTAAGGCCCAGGCAATAGGGCTGATTGTCTGCTCTTTCTCTGCAATGTGGCCAGACTTCACACCATGGGGTATGTGGTGACGCCGTCCGTCTCTCTGTTTGCGCAATCGACGCCCAATCCACCAGCAGAGGGCCAGAACGCGGAGAGGGAGCACCAGGCAAAGGGGGAATGACCAGTCCGTCTGGATTTCTGGAAGAAACGTGCCGGGCCCCAGCCGCTATTTGCATTAGTTCGCGGGAGCATCATCCATCAGGGCCTCAGGGGTTCCACAGCCTGGCGTCTGAGCGTTCCAGGCGCGGTAACTTCGTCTGGCTTGGAGCTGCCCAAGCGTAAAAGCCCATTCGATCGGCCACTCGGCATGCAGAGCAGAGCAGAGGGGAGGGATTACTAACCGGGAGTTGTGTGTGGGCGGCCTCAGCCGCCACTCCCTCCCACATTTCCGTGAATGGAAACGCCTGTGCCTGCAAGTTCTAGACCACTCCTGGGCGTATGTGTGACAGCTAATGTTCTCGCCCGAATGACGGCTTTCTGTTCGCGCCAGGGCCAATAGACGGCGTGATCGTGCTGCTGTACAACCGTCCTGGCCTGGACCAATATTGCGCTTCAGCCCCGTCCCGAGTAATTGTTCATTTAAACGCTTTCTTCCCGCCGTAAAAATGCAACCAAAAACTATCTTCCAATATCGTGAACACTGCTACACCAGCTTCTACTCATAACGTACTGCCAAGGGCTAGGTCTGGGTTCCGCTTCCCAAGCACCATCAACCTCCTTGATCCGGCACTCCATTCCATTCTAAAACCATCATGCCAGCCATACCCGACTACCTCTACCTGAGGGATGAAACAACAGGAGTGACAGGGGGAGGGTCAACACCAAAGATTGCCAAAATCACCAACCGCCACCTCTCATCCCTGACCCCCTACGGATCCATCATCATCACATGCGGCGTCATCTTCATTGTACTACTCTCCAATATCCTCGAAAGATGGGTTCTACGGATGGTGTACAAAGACATCTACCGAAATCTGGAGAAGCCCGGGAATGAGCGACGCCGCCGCTCGTTCACATACTACCATGTCGGCGTCATGATGCTCTTTTCGCTTTTCTGCACCGGCGTCTACCCCGTCCTCATGTTCCTCGTCGGCCCTGGAGACTTCGGTACCCATGTCGGGAGGAAAGGTGGAGGTGCAACCATTGGAGATTTGCTCTTCTTGTTTGCGGAGATCTACACGGCATACTACCTCTACGAGATGTGCTTCCGCACGCAATTCGCCAGCCCTCTCACCATCGCGCATCACATTGGACTGCTGCTGGTGGTGCAGACATCGGTTGCCCTCTTTGCTGACTCGGATAGCCATAAGGAGGCGACGCTGGAGTTTTACATGTGCATGGTCTGGGGTGAGTCAAAGCTTTTCTAATAATTCACAAACTTCAGTCAACTAACCATGACTTATAGGAGCATTCGATGTGGTCGTGGAAATGCCCGTCTTCGTCTCCATGATCGTTTGGCGTATCAAGCGTCATAATCACAAACTTCTCGCCAGAATCGGTCTTGGATGCTGCATTTGGATCATTGTAGCAGCCACCACTGAGGTCGTCGTGACCATCTACCTCTTGAACAGATCCTGGCACCGATGGGGGACTGTCTTCCGGGTCATCACGCCCGTTGTTTTCGCCCTCTGGATCGCGACGCAGCTCTATGGCGCTTACAGACTTTACAACATGGGGCGGGCACAGCTGCTAGAGCATAGAAAAGAATCCGGCGCCATCGAGTCAGAGTCTATCGAGTCAGGAAGCTCGGAATCTGAAAGCACCAAAAACAAGGTTTTGGAATAGACGGGGAAAATTTATACACGAATAATGAGTTACGAGATTTTGGGTTTAATTTATAATAGACTAGACAGCATCCTTTGCAATAGAGTCTTATTTTGAGATCATCTTCGTATCGCTCTCTTTCTAAGCCGCCTGAATGGTACCTTCGAGCCGTATGTCTCTGCTGCTTGCTCCCACACTGACTGTGAATTTTCCTGCTGGCACAGTCCAGACTTGTGCGGCCGTATCCCAAACACTCAGATCCCTACGGAGGAGGGAGAAGGTTGCAACTCCTGATGCACCTGCCCCGAGCGGAAGCTTGTCATAACCTCTTAGTTGACGAGGAGGTGTGCCAGCAGAGTCTGGGAAGGAGACGTAGAGTTGTGCCACCTCAGCGCCTGCAACACCGCCCGAGTTGGTGATGGTGGCGGTGACTGTGGCCACCTCCTCGAAGAGGTCCGCATGACCTCCGGGGATAACTGGGCCAGTGGCGGGGCCGCTACTGAGCTGTGAATCAATAGTGATGTCGGAGTAAGAAAAGTTGGTGTAGGCTGTTGGTTAGGGCGAGATGTTAGTCCAACAAGATCCGCAACCAGGGGGACTCCCAGGAGTCAGGGATGAACACTTAGAATGCACTTACACAACCCAAAACCGAACTCAAATTCAGGCTCGATTCCCGCTTCGTCAAAGTGACGATAGTCGACGAGAAGCCCTTCGCTGAAATTATCGTCACCGTTGACAACCTTCGTGTTGTAATCGCTCGCACTCTTGGCAATGGTGTAGACCAACTTGCCACTCGGGCTCACATCTCCCCAGACAACATCCACGAGAGCATTACCGCTCTCTTGGGATGGAAGCCCGGCCCAGACCACACCTTTGACCGAAGGCAGCTCGAGGAGGGGTGAGAGGGTGACGGGCCCAACAGAGTGCACCACGATGATCACGTTCTCGCTGACCGCTGCCACGGCCCGGACCAGCTCAGCACCATTATGCCACGGCTCCAGATGGTTCCTATCACCAAGATGCCCCTCAACAGTCAGATACCCCTCTCCCGCATCGCTCGTGAGGAATACTAGCGCGACGTCCTTGCCACTAGCAGCTCTGGCCCCAGCATCGGGCTCGTCAGTCCCGCTTAGCGTCACGGCGGCGCCCTCCTTGTCCGCTCGCCCCTTGATGGCATCGTATGGCGCGATAAAATACGGATACTTGACCGTTCCAGAACCCCAGCCCATCCCCAGCGCCCCGTTGTTGCAGGCCTTGTCCTCGCACACGTTGTTGGCGTGGTCGCCCTTGACGGCCCCAGACCCCACGACGGCGATGCTCAGGGGCCCAGAGAGTGGCAGGATCCCGCCCTCGTTCTTGAGCAGGACGGTGCCGTCGCGCGCCACCGCCCGGACGTTGTCCGCGTGGTTGGCTTTCACGTCGCGGGTCAGGTCGATGGAGGGGAAGCCGGCGTCCTGGCCCGTCTTGTACCACGCCGCGAGGATGCGCGTGGCCATGTCGCCCACGCGCTCCTCGGACACCTGGCCGGACTGGATGGCGCGGGAGAGGTTGTCGCCCCAGTAGACGTTGTCGCCGGCCCACGCTGACCCGGGCATGGACATGTCCAGTCCGGTGTTGGCGCTCTCCACGGTCGAGTGCTGGGCGCCCCAGTCCGTCATGACGTATCCCGGAAACGCGAGCTCCTCCTTGAGCAGGCCGTTGAGGTAGTGGTCGTTCTCGCAGGCCCAGGTGCCGTCGAGCCTGTTGTAGCTGCACATGACGGCTACGACGCCCGCGTGGACCGCCTCAGCGTACGGCCACAGGTAGATCTCGTGCATGGTCCGGTCGTCGACGTTGGAGGACATGGAGTCGCGGTTGAGCTCCTGCTCGTTGGCTACGTAGTGCTTGAGGGTCGCCTGGACGCCCGCGGCCTGCATCGCCTTGATGGAGATGGCCGAGTTGAGGCCGTTGAGGTAAGGGTCCGATCCCCATCCCTCCCAGTTGCGGCCGCCCTCGGCGATCTTGCCGATGGCGCCTGCTACCGGGCCGAGGAGGACGTGAACACCGAGTGCTTTGGCTTCCTCGGCGTGGAACTGAGCACGCTGACGGATGAGGTCTTTATCCCATGTTGAGGATGCGTGGATGCTGGGGGTGAAGGCCGTGACCGAGGATGCGTACCGGACTCCAAGAGGCCCGTCTTGCAGACAAAGAGTGGGATATCCGATTGAAGCGACGGGATAGGTGTTTCCTACGCATGGGCCCTTGTTCCAGCCGACTCCAGTTACGATGCCAACCTTGTCCGATGTCGTGATTTTGGCAACAGCTGCTCGCGCCTTTACATAGGCCTCTTCCCAGCTGAGCTCAGCTAGAAGTTAGACATGTGTTAGCATACTGAATACCATGTGTTTCTCAGGATTGAGAAGCAATGTTCAGTAGTTGCATACCAGTCACCAAAGGTAGGACCGCCATGGCCAAGGCGGCCACAAATGAGTACTGCATGATCAACTCCTCAAAGTTACTTTGAAGCTTCTATACAATTGTTGCTATAGCTCGTCATGTGCCGGGTTGCTACAGAACAACCAAGGGGGGCATTCCATCCCCTATTATACCTGTTCAGGGCCAACACTTCCGGCGATACTCTTCTTGGCTGCCTTAAGCCCCTTCCTCTGCAGGATAACCTTGGACATTGAGTGATGTAGGCCAAGCCGACGACTGCATAATACTCATTTCGCCAAAAAGCGCTCGAATGACTACTTGCCGGAGGTGAGGCCCGTGAGACGTTTTTACCGGAACCAGATGGTTACATCGGAAGGACTACAACCGGCGGGGGATTGTGATCTGCTGGTCATTGTGCCTGATTGCAACGCATGAAAATCTCCACAAACCCTTTGGGGAAAAGCCGTGCTTCGGTGCAATTGCCGTCAGTTTCGCTGCAGATCTGGACGGGTATTGCGGTTGGCCTCTCGTCGGAATATTAGGGCCGATAAGCTTCTGATCCTTGTCAGCTCTTATGGTTATTTTGCCAAGTACCGGAACAGGTTTCTTGGCCATGGAACAATCAAGTCATCATCTACATGGTTTATGGACATGTGTCTGTGAGGGGTAGAAAGCGATGTCACATGAGACTAATCATGACAGCATTCTGCATATATTGTTGCTTTTAGAGTTATAGTAGGAATTGCATCTCCTATGAAGTTGATAGGATATTATAATTCGTAGCCAAGACTTCCTAATTCGTGATTTCTGATAATGAGTCTCAATTCAAGTCACCGAGGTCAACTCAAGCTTACTTCTTGCGAGATGAGTTTCATGAGCACGCTTCAAATCAATAAGACCGATGTCATTCCAGCTAGATAAAAGGGTATATAATAATATTACTTCGGACTGAGCCCTGGATGTTGCTGCTTTTGAATCCTGGATATCCATCTAGATAGACTCCTCCACATTATCCTCAACGGAGGTGACCTTGGTCTTGGACTGCCTCCACCATTGAAGAAGAGGAATACCAACCCCAGTCCAGACAGTCAGTGCCACGACCCAAGAGAGCGCGCTGCCCCATCCGTGGGTAGCGACAAACTGAGGCGCCTGGCTGCTGGGCATCTGCAGCTGCTGGAAGGGGATGACAACAGCCTGGCCGACGGAGACCATGAACCCGAGGACGAACGCGCGCTTCTGCTGGTCACCGCCGCAGGCCTCGTTAGTCCACCCGGCCAGGAGGGGCGTGTAGCACCCGTAGCAGCCCGCAAGGATGAAGACGGCCAGCCGGAGGGTATGCGGCACGGTCCACGCGGTGAGGACGGCGTAGACGAAGGTGAGCAGGGAGCCGACGGCGAAGCAGACGGGGGCGCGGCTGCCGATCTTGTCAGACACGTATCCCGTGGTGACCATGAAGAAGAAGTTGACGGCGCCGACCGAGGTGGGGATGTTGTTGATCTCGGGGACGGTGTAGAGCTTGGTGGACTTGAGGTAGAGAGTGAAATACTGGATGATGTAGGAGCCGCAGGTGAGGGTCCAGAAGGAGTAGCCGAGGGTGAAGGCGTAGACCTGCCAGGAGCCGAAGATGCGGCGGATGATGGTCCAGTCGAGCTTGCCGACGGGCTTGCGGCCCTCCTCCTCGATGCGCTCGCGGCAGCGCTGCTTCTCCCAGTCATTCAGGTACCAGGCGGTGGTGGTGTGAGGGGTATCTGGGAAGCAGATCTGTAAAGATAGTCAGCGACCTTCCTTCTCATTTTTCATAGTAGGTAGAGTATATCAACTTACAAGACCGTAGACAACGACGGGAATGGCAATGATGAAATCAAAGATGAAGAGCCAGCGCCAAGCGGACAGTCCACCCCTGCCTTCCATACCAGTGTACAGGGCAGATTGCAAGTATCCTGAGAACATCTGGCCCAAGACACCGCTCATGACGAAGAGGCCTGATCGTCGGGACAGCTCACTCTTGCGGTACCAGCACCCGATGCAGTACATGACGCCGGGCCAGGCAGCCGACTCGAAAAGGCCGATGAAGAATCGCAGAGCGTAGAACTGGGAGGCAGTGTTGCACTTGTACAGGAACAAGACGAAGATGGACCAGGTCATGAGGCATCCGCACAGCCAGTACCGGGGACGAACAACGGTGATGATCAAGTTGGCAAAGGAGCCGCCAATAATGGTACCGATGCTGAAGTACGTGTTCATCCATGAGAGTTCGTTACCTGGGCCGAACTTGAGCTCCTCGGACATGCCGGAGACATAGGCATTGGAGATGTTGTTTTGATCAAGCTGGAATCCTTATGTCAGATCTGGTCGGGAATGGGGGTGGTCTGGGTAGTTACCTGTTTGACGAAGAACATAAGACAGCTCCAGCTGAGGAGGAACCAGTCCAGTTTGAAGATCAGCTTCTTCTCCTCCTTCGAGGTCCCAGGCTCGTGCCAGTGAAACCACCCGGACGCAGGCTCTGGCTGTGGGGCTGCGGGCTTGCCAGTAGCTGACGTTACGGACGTCGCATCCTTCTCTTTGCTCTGGATCTCAATGGTATCAGGCGCAGCGGCCTTGACCGTGTCGGTTTGAGTGGCCATGGCGGTGATGGGCCTGGCACAGTGTAGTTGGATACAAAGAAGCAGAACACAGGAGCAAAACAAGACGCTGAAGAATAAGGCTGTCGATTGAACTGATCCAACTGATGTTTCAAACGGGATATATACGGGGATCCTCGCGCAGTATTTCAATGCACGAAGCCGTCAACTGCTCCAGCCCAGGAAGAGATTTCCACTCGCTAGCGGCCGGTCCCTTTAACACCAGACGAACCTCTATGCGAACCACTTTAAGCGTCTCCCGATAACGCCCTTTGCTGGGGCGATGATACCATCTTGTCTCCAGCCAATGAGCGACTGCCGGCGTCAGGCTTCGGCCAACTGCCGGTTACTACTTGAGGCAATTTACATCGGATTCTCCCCGACACGCTAGACCCCGACCATGGTGTAATCTGTTAATCTGTTGCGAGAGCGGGAAGAGCCCGGCCAGTGCTACGCGAGCCTGTTTGTTTGACTCGCAGGCTGGACTGACTCGTCGATGTCGGGATCTTCCGCCATAGCGTCTTTCTCTTGGAAAGTGCGTGCGCGAGGCCTGTTTGCGGTTCATATACACATGATAGATAGACTGAGCCATTGATTTCAGGCGGCCAGGACACATCACAATGGTGGAATTCGTGGAAATCAACGGCGCCCGTCTCGCCTACCGTCTGGCCGGGCCCGAAGATGCCCCCCTGATGATCACTCTCCACGGCGGCCGTGGCTTCGGTGTGTGATGATGATGCCTTCATCTACGGCTATTTATTAATGAGAGTAGGCGACCACAGATCGGATTTCAAAGTGTACAGCCAGCTGAGCGACAAGATCCGCGTCCTTTCATTCGACTACCGAGGCCACGGGAAGAGCTCCCGAACAAAACCGTACACCTTTGACCAGATTGTCGACGACATTGAAGGCATCAGGCGTCATTTCCTCGGCGACAAGCAGGCCATCATCTGCGGCGGGAGTTTCGGCGGCTTCCTCGCGCAGCACTACGCAATTAAATATGCCTCGCGCGTGTCGCATCTGATCCTCCGGGGAACTGCGCCCTCACACCATCGTGAGTTTTGGTAGAATCCGTCTGTGTGTGAAAGTTGGCACTGACCACCGCAAATGCAGATGAGGCTGGAGCCATAAAGACGCTCGAGGAGCGAGTGAGCAAGGTCCCCGGCTTCTCGGTCAACATGCTGAGGAACAAGGTCTTTGGGGCGTATGAGAGCGATCGCGAGTTCCAGCTGGTCTATTTTGCCATGCTGCCGCTTTATAAAGAAACATATGACGCGGACGCGGGCTTGAAGAGAGCTCTAGATATTGAATACGTGGCAGAGTCGCACAGTAAGAAAAAGACCAACCCCCAGCATATTGCTTTGCTGATCAATCATCTAGATGACCTCTACTCAGAGCAAGAAAAATATTTTGATTACACTGATCGCTTGTTAGAGATCACCGCCAAGACGCTCGTCGTCGTGGGGGCAAGGGACTGGATCTGCCCACCAGGTTCGTTGCCCAAATAATCAAGCCAATGGAGGAGCTGCTAACGATGATAAATGCAGAAAATTCCCAGCTGATTGCCGAGAAAATCCCCGGGGCAGAACTATTCACGGTTGAAGGGGCGAATCACGGTGTGCACGCGGAGAAGCCAGAGGTGGTATTGCCCAAGATACGTAGCCATTTAGGAATCTAACCATAATAAAAAAGACACGCTATATACACACACAACAGTACTGGTTATAAAAAGCCCAACTCCAAGTTGGTCCAGCCGTACTCATCACTAGGCATGCTCGTCCCGCCAGACACGTGCATCGCCGGCCCGACAGGCAGCGAGCTGAGCGTCTGGCCATTGGCACCATTCATCCCCGAGGCCGTCGTCGAAGAAGAGGATTCGTGAGCCCCGGCATCATCTGGGAATTTGTACAGTGCGTAGCAAGTAGACCGGCCCAGGACTTGCCGCATGAGAGCCAGGAACTCGTCGATGATGGCCTTGAGCCCGGTCTCGTAGTATCCCGTTGTGACATTTATGAAGCCTGCTGTGGAGGAGCCCTTGGAGGACACGAGGTTCATCAGACGTCTGAAGATCTGGACGGCCTGGCGAGCGTGTAGCCAGCCCTCGGGGAAAGCTTCCAGTATGCTGACAATGACGGCGACGTCGTCCCTGGCCGAGTATGAGACACAGTCGACGGGGCACGAGAGGAAGCAGTGTAGCAGGATCAGACCGACGGGGAAGATGCGGCAGAGCGTGACGCGGTTGAGAGGCAACTGCCGCTGCTGGAGAAGCACAGAGGTCGACTGCAGGTGCTTCTGGGCCAGCCTGAAAAGCTCTGCCGGCGAGATGATGGAGCCGCTCGAGTTGAAATGGCACGGGTAGTGCAGCAGGAGCAGCAGATGGTAGTATCTCGCACTCAGCCATGTCACGGAACTATGGATAGGCACGTTATCCGTCTCGAGAGGCGACGCCAGACACCCGTTGCTATACCAGTTCTCTACCTCGGACTTGATCTCTTTGGCAATGGCCTGCCGGTCTGCCTGGGACAAGGCAGCGACCTCTGACTCTTTCCTGGTGTGGATCTGCTGGAGGATCCGATCCTCGAGCTGTCGAAGATGTATAACATGGCGGTTGGTCTGAAGCATGGACGCATACTGCTGGCGCTCCGGCGAGGCGAACTCGTCAATGGTCAGTCCAGGGAGCGGGACATCCATGTTCTCGTCGACCAGCGCGACCTGGATGCCCAGCGAGATGGCCACCATCCGGTCCAGCACGAAGATGCTCCAGAACAGCCGGTACCGGAACTCGATGTCCATGGCCGATGACGCCTGGACCTTCTCGTCCGGCTCCTTGCGGCTCAGACCTGCCAGCATGGCCTGACGCGCGGCGAGACCGGTGATAGACCACGTCGACGTTCCCTTGGGGTCGAAGAGCGCGTATAAAGCCAGCAGCACGAGGATCTGCAGCGCCTCGACCTCGTCCTGCCTAGTAAGACACTCCTGGATGATGTCCGAGTACGAGATGTGGAAGGTTGACGACACATCCTGGGGGATCTGGCCAGCTCTCTGCAGCGTGGTGCAGCCGAGGGCCATGACGAGATACAGCAGGGTGGAATCAGCGCCGCCGCGTTTTCTAGCCAGCGTGCCGATCACGTCGGCGTTGCGCAGCAGCTTGGACTTGTTGATGAAGGGATACGCCTTGTGAATATTGCGGAAGTACGCGTCCACGAGCCGTCGAGCCAGAGTGTCCTGCGCCAGCACCGTGAGGTTGGAGTGGTCCATCTCCCCGTGGGCCATCAGCTCGATGGCCCCCGGCGTCGCGATGCTGTTGTTTGGCGAGCCGTCGATCGTCATCTGCCCGCGACTATGGCACGACACAGGCGAGTCCGAGTTGACCGTCGCTACCAGACTCGGGGTCCGGTCGTGAGGCAGGCCAGGCGCCGGCATGCTGCCCTTCTCTTGGTGCGGCTGCGTCTTGGGGAACTGGGCCATCTCACCGCGAGCGATGCCCTCGGGACGACTACCACTGCTGCTCTTGCTCGCCGCGTTTGAAGACGCGTTGATGGACGCCGATGCAGCCGCCTTGTCGCTGCCGTACGGGCTCACGGCACCGCCCAGCAGCGACTCCAGGTTGGTCCCCGTGTCGATGGACTGGACGCCGTCGAGGCCGGGGACGTAGACATTGTTGTTGATGAAGCTGGTCAGCCACTCGATGCGCGCGCGCAGATGCAGAGTCTGCGCGCCGGGAGACGTGGCGGGCGTCGAGAAGGAGCATGTGTGCCCGGCGCTCGCGCACAGGCTGCAGACGGGGAACGTCCGGCTGCATTTCTTCTTGAAGCTGCGGCAGCGATCGCAGGCGGGTGTCCTCTCCTTGCCAGATCTGGGCGAGGGTGCTGATGATGCTGCTGCTGCTGTGCTCGACCGGCTCAGCCCAGGACCTGATGATGGGCGACGCGACGACGATGAGGCCGGCGTGAGCTGCTGACCATTGCCTCCACTACCTCCGCCATTGGTAGACGGCGACTGCAGGACGTGAGACGATGATGTTGCTTCATCCCGTCGTAGAGGAGGCGAGGCTGAGCGCCGGGATGCCCTCGCAGCAGGCTGGCGGACTCGGAAGCGGTGCACACTGGAAGCCAGCTGGTCCGGCGGCATAATAGGTCTGTCTCGATGAAAGGATCGGGCAAGACGTATCGCATCGCACCGGGTCGGGATGAGGACGACTGGCTTGCTTCAAGGGGGGCCTTGATGCTCGCCGGCGGGTCTGTCTGTCACTCTGGGCTATCGAGCACGCCATCGAGCTGATGCTATTGGCACATCGTCTCTGGCCGGGATCCTCCGTTGGTGCCACTAATCTCGCAAATTTCGCGCACATCCCGACCGGCGGCCTTGATACGGTCTTCGGTCTCATGACTCTGGACCGTGTGAAGCCCGTGAGAGCAGTGTGGGAAATCGCCTGATTGTAGGTTCGGGATGATCCATCGCCGGAGGCTGTAGATATTTATTATTGTTGTTCGCAACAAAGAGCAGAGAAACCAGCAGGCAAAACAGAAATACAATGGCCGTCTCTCGCGTGGCCGTTATCGGTGCCGGCCCGTGTGGCCTCGCCGCTCTCAAGTACGTGATGGTATCATAATCGACACATTCAGTGATGCAAAACAGTCAAATTAACACCCGTGACTATAGATATCTACTGGCAGAAAAGACATTCTCCTTCATCCAGGCGTATGAGCAGAAGGACACCTTGGGCGGGGTATGGGCGTACAACACCCTCACTCGCGAGGACAATGAATTCGCCATTCCCAGGACGAGGCCGTCGAAGGATGCAGATGTTCCCGTCCAGGTCGAAGACAAGTCTGCACCTCAATTTGTCTCGGCTATATACGACACGCTCGAGACCAACATCCCGCACACGCTCATGTGCTTCGGCGACACGCCCTTCCCTGCTGGCTCGAATCTCTTCCCTCCTCATCAAGCAGTCAAGAAGTACCTGGAAGAATACGGAGAGGAGGTCAACCAGCACGTCTTATTCTCTACTCAGGTACTCACCATCGACAGGGTCCAGGACGGCGAGAAGAAGCACTGGGAGATTGAGACGATAGATCTCAAGACAAAGGCTCAGCAAAGGACGCAGTTTGATGCCGTCCTCGTTGCGAGCGGCCACTACAACGACCCGTATATCCCAGACATCCCCGGCTTAGTCGAGTTCGATAAAGCATACCCCGGGGCCATCTCCCACTCCAAGTTCTACCGCAACCCCAACGACTACGCCGGGAAGAAGGTCATCGTCGTCGGAAACTCGGCCTCCGGGATCGACCTGAGCGCGCAGATTTCAACCGTCAGCAAGCTCCCCGTCATCATCTCCGAGCGCTCGCCCCAGGTCACGGGCGGCGACGAACAGTCAGGCTGGTCCAGGCAGGTGCCCGAGATTGCCGAACTCACCCCCGAGGGACGCAAGGTGCGGTTCGCCGACGGCCACGTCGAGGAGGATGTCGACGTCGTCGTCTTCTGCACCGGATACCACTACAGCTTCCCCTTCCTGCGCGGGCTCTCGCCGCCCATCGTCACCGACGGATCGTACGCGCGCAACCTGTACCAGCACCTCGTGTACATCAACGAGCCGACCCTGGCCATCGTGGGCATCCCGCAGCGCATCATCCCCTTCCCCTTCAGCGAGACGCAGGTCGGATGGATGGCACGCATCTGGTCCGGCCGGGCAAAGCTGCCCAGAGAGGAGGAGATGCGGGAGTGGGAGGCTGCGAAGCGCAAGGAGAAGGAGGGACAAGAGAAGTCGTTCCACGTGATGCCCTTCCCGCAGGATGTTGACTATATCAATCTTTTACACGGCTTCAGCGAGAAGGCAGAGACGAGGCCTGGGCTGGATAATGGGGGGCGAGGCAAGATCCCCCCGTACTGGGATGCGTACAAGAGGTGGCTACGGCAGCAGACTCCTCTCGTCAAGGCCGCGGCGAGGAAGTTGGGGGAGAAACGCAGGGAGATTCGCACACTGGAGCAATTGGGATTTCAGTACATTGAGGAGAGAAATTAAGCGGCCATGTAGACATTGAGCATCATCAGCATTCATCTTGATAGACATCTGAGAGAGCAACAGTATTATTGAGTACATCTTACCAGATTCAGACAAGCACCAATGGATTCATAAACAGATGAGCCCATTGAGCTTGACTCAGGCTGGTGGAGAAGAGTCGGGGAGAGTCCGACAAGCGTTATCTTTTCAATAGCCTAAAGCACGCAATTCAATATTAAATCGCGCCGGGGCCGCTCATCGGGCGGAAGACGACAGATTCTTGATCGGGCGCAGGCCGACGAGCAGCCCGATGAAAAACGCTGCTTTGGGAGATTTTCACGGCCTCACGCAAACCGGCAGACCATCGCAAACGCCGTGATCCTAACTCAAGTGGCTGTCGGGCTAGTAGCCGAGAATTCAACATTATTCGGCTTCTTTCATTTGATGAAATATCCCCCGGCATTGCGTGTCTGTTCATTCGTAAGCCTCAGTCTCAGATGAGTGTCGAGGTGGGATTCGCTAAGCTGAGCTGATCTTCACAATCAGCAAGAAGAAGAAGGATTCAATTTCAAGATGACGGCGGATATCAGCGTCGCCATTGACCGCGGCGGCACCTTTTGCGATGTCATTGCCCAGGTAGAGGGCCACGAGCCCATCGTCTTCAAGCTCCTCTCTGAGGATCCCTCCAACTACCCAGATGCGCCCACAGAGGCCATCCGCCGAGTCCTGGAAAAGGTCGAAGGCAAATCCATCCCTGTGGGACAGAAGCTAGATGGATCGAGAATAGGTACGTCTGCTTCTTGGGAAAGTGTGGCCTCGATATTGACCTTGTCCAGCTTCATGTCGCATCGGCACCACCGTGGCCACCAACGCGCTGCTCCAGCACAAGGGCGAGCGCTTCGCATTCATCACTACAAAGGGCTTCAAGGATGTCTGCACAATCGGCGACCAGTCCCGCCCAGAGCTCTTCAATCTCAAGATCCGCAAGCCCAGGCCGCTTCACTCGGCCGTGATCGAGGTCGACGAGCGTATCGTCCCGGCTGACTACGACCTCAATCCCTCCCCTTACGACAAGCAGGTCCTCGCCGCCGAGTCCGAGGCCAGGCCGGATGACCTCGTCCGTACCGTCAGTGGCGACTACATCCGCATCCTTCGTAGGCCAGATGCCGCAGATGTCCGGACCAAGCTCGAGGCTCTGCGCGCCGACGGCTACACCTCCTTGGCCGTCTGCTTCCTGCACGCCTACCTCTACCCGGCGCACGAGAATCTCGTCGCCGACATCGCCAAGGAGGTTGGCTTCGAGTTCATCACCACATCCGCCCGGACCAGTCCCTCCATCAAGTTCCTCAACCGCAGCACCTCGACCTGTTCCGAGGCCTACCTGTATCCCGTGATCAAGCGTTATGTCGAGGGCTTCACAGACGGATTCCAGAATCTGCCTCGTCGGGTTGACTTCATGTGCTCAGACGGCGGACTAAAGACTGCCACCCGATTCAGGGGCAATGAGGCCCTCGTCAGCGGTCCTGCCGGCGGTGTCGTGGGAATCGCCCGCTCATGTTACGATCCGGACGAGGGGACGCCCGTCATCGGTTTTGACATGGGCGGCACGAGCACCGACGTCTCCCGCTACGACGGCAAGTATGACTATCTGAGCGAGACTTCCATCGCCGGGCAGACCATCACAGTTCCGATGCTCAACATTGCGACCGTCGCAGCAGGCGGCGGCTCCATCCTGTTTGCTCGCAATGGTCTCCTGGCTGTTGGCCCCGAGAGTGCCGGCGCACATCCTGGACCGGCTTGCTATCGTAAAGGAGGTCCCCTCACAGTCACAGACGCGAATCTGTTCCTTGGGCGGCTGGTGCTTTCGTCATTCCCTTCCATCTTTGGTCCTAATGCCAACGAGCCTCTAGATCTCGAGATCGTGCAGAAGAAGATGGCAGAGATTACGGCCGATTTCAACCAGCAGACGAACCAGAGCCTGACCTCTGAGCAAGTTGCCCTTGGATTTTTAGATATTGCCAATGAAACGATGAGCAGACCAATCCGCAACGCAACCGAAGCGAGAGGCTTCGCCCCCGAGAACCACCATCTTGTCAGCTTTGGCGGTGCGGGCGGCCAGCACGCCTGTGACATTGCCGACAAGCTTGGGATCCAGCGCATTCTGATCCATAAATGGTCCTCTCTTCTCTCTGCAAGTGGCATCGCCCAGGCCGACCTGCAGCACGAGGTTCTTGAGCCCTTCGGCTCCAAGCTTGACGGAGAGGCTCTATCACACGTAGACCGGCGCCTGGCTATATTAAAGCAGGAGGTTGCGAGCCAACTCCAGTCGCAAGGAGCGTTGTCTGACTCTCTAGTTTATGATCAAAGTCTAGTCCTTCGGTATTTCGGGACAAACACCGATTTGACCATTTCTCAGCCAGCCGATGGCAAGAGCTACGCGCGGGTGTTCGAGGCAGAGCATCTCCGGGAGTTCGGCTTCTCCATGGGCCGTGATATCGTCGTCGAATCTATCAAGGTCCGTGGAACCGGCAGCTCTGTGACCAAGGTGGAAGAGGTCTCAGCCTTCAAGGATCTCGCGGCTCGTGGTCAAGCCTCGACAACTGCTCCCAAGGAGACTAAGCAGGTATATATCAACGGATCATGGCAAGAAACGGGTATCTTCAGACTAGATGATGTACCCAGGGGCTCTAAAATCAATGGTCCTGCTCTTGTCATCGACGATACGCAAACCATCTTCGTATCCCCCAGCTTCCATGCCAACATCCTTACTTCTCACATCCTCCTCGAAAAGAACTCGGCGAAAGCAGAGAAAGAGTCCGCCGAAGGGCATGCCAGCACTTTATCATCCAGTCTTGCTCTCGCCGCTAGTAGCTCTGCTACGGTAGACCCCATTCTCCTCTCCGTCTTCGCCCACCGGTTCATGGCCATAGCAGAACAGATGGGCACTACGCTCCAGCGCACGTCTATCTCGACATCTATTAAGGAACGCCTCGACTTCTCCTGCGCCATCTTCTCGCCCGAGGGAACACTCGTGGCCAACGCACCGCACATCCCCATCCACCTAGGATCCATGCAGTTCGCCATTCAAGCGCAACATCGCCACTGGGCAGGCAAGGTACAGCTCGGCGATGTGTTCTTGACCAATCACCCCCAGTGGGGAGGCACCCATCTACCCGATCTTACCGTCGTCACTCCTGTATTCATCGACGGCGCCATCGCCTTCTATGTCGCTTCAAGAGGCCACCACACCGACATTGGAGGCAAGGGAATCACCAGCATGGCCCCCGAAACCAAGGAGCTCTGGGAAGAAGGCCTCAACGTCCCCACGATGAAGATCGTGTCCGCGGGCGAGTTCCTCGAAGACGAAGTCCGCGCTGCCTTCAACAAGGCGGGAGACTTCCCCGGCTGCAGCCCGACGCGCCGTATCGCCGATAACATCTCCGACCTCAAGGCCCAGACGGCAGCGAATCAACGGGGCATCACCCTCCTCGGCAAGTTGTGCGATGAAGCCACCCTGCCAGTCGTGCATAAATACATGAACAGCATCCAGGACAATGCAGAGCTGGCCGTCCGCTCGTTCTTCAAGAACCTCGTTGCCAGCCACCCGGAGCCCTTCGAGGCTGTGGACCACCTCGATGACGGCACCGCCATGCAGGTGCGCATCAGCATCGACCCGGAAACTGGCTCCGCGACCTACGATTTCTCCGGCTCAGGGCCCCAGATGTGGGGGAACTACAACTGCCCCATCAGTATCTGCCACTCGGCCATCATCTACACCATCCGCTGCCTCGTAGACGTAGAGATCCCGCTGAACGAAGGCTGCCTGAAGCCAGTCGACATCAAGGTCCCCGAGGGGTCTGTCCTCAACCCGACGCCCAAAGTCGCGATCTGCGGCAGCACACTCGCCAGCCAGCGTGTTATCGACGTGATCCTGCGCGCCTTTGGCAAGCATGCTGCCAGCCAGGGCTGCGCGAATAGCTTCGGTTGGGGGATGGGCGGGAAGGATCCTTTGACGGGGGAGATTGTCAAGGGGTGGAACTATGGCGAGAGTATCGGCGGCGGCGTTGGTGCCAGTGAGAATTATCATGGCGAGCATTCCACTCATGTAAGGTTTGGCTTTCCCGATTGAAATATTAGAAACTAACGTAATTTTACAGGTTCATTCCACCAACACGCGTCAAACGGATGCAGAGGTGATCGAGAAGCGCACAGCAGTATTGGTCCGCTCTTACGGAATCCGCCGTGGAAGCGGTGGCGTCGGTAAATGGCGCGGAGGTGACGGCATTACAAGAGAGATCCAGGCCCGGATCCCTCTCAAGTTCAGTATTCTCAGTGATCGTCGCGTGTACCGCCCGTATGGTATGGCTGGCGGTGGTCCCGGGCAGTCCGGTGCCAACTATGCATTTGTGTACAACGACAAGAATGTTTTGGAAAGGGTGAATCTTGGAGGAAAGGCTGTCATGAATCTAAAGGAAGGGGAGTATATTCAGATTAATACGCCGGGCGGCGGTGCCTACGGGAGCATAGAATAAATAAATAAAATAGACATATATTGATTCAAGTAAGGCTCCGGGACCAGGTCTTCAAAACGCCTACATCAGCTCTCATCCACGACAACACACACATTGTATCAACTTTGACGAACAACGTGCCATATTACCAATCTTTAGCGAGTATGATTTACCCCGCGGCCACCAACAACGATTGGTGATCACTTATGCAGCCACCCAACCAGCTGATGTTGAGTCACGTGCGGTACATGCAGGAGGCCTACCATGAGTGTTGGCGTGACAAACTGAGAATGAGTTGGCAAGATATGAAACTCTTACCCCTTCATCGCAGGCACTTTAAACCAAGCACCGTCTCTGGGCCTTTGTGTAGTCACTCATGACACGAGGACGGCCTTTTCAATCACAATGCAATCCACAGCCGACACAAATAATATAGCAGTTAATATAGCAGAGAATATTTCGATTCTTCACCTTCTGCACGAAGTCCCTGAACCACCAACATCCAATCCAGTCCTGTCTCCCATCTCTGATGGCCCAACAGAATATAGCCTTTCCTTCAAGAAAGAAAGAGATCTCACTATTATGCTCGCTTATATCTCTTCCATCAAGAACAACCGCGACCGCGTCCCTGCTGTGTGCATTAAAGAAGACAAAGCTACAGATCGATTAGACATTCTCGTTGCCGTCAACGCATCCAACGCTGCTGAAAAAGGCGTCCTCTCTAATATTCAGACGAAATTTGAAGAGATATTCAAGCTGTTGCCCTCGGCATCTACATGTAAGACCTTCCCCAGTGAAGTAGAGTTGCAATACTGCATTGGTTTTCCGACTAACATGCAAATTCCTTTTTGTTCAGCTAGAAATGCAGAAAAAGACATCTTTGATAAGATAGTTGAAGTGTGCTACACTCGGATACTTGAGCGTTTAAGACTGGTTTCCCGAAAAGACAAGCCGCCCATGGAGGAGCACGTCTCAGATTCCATCGACAATCTAGAACAGGAATCGCTTGCATTCGCCAAAGCAGCCAAGGATTTGCTTAAAAAGATCAATCAATGGAAGAAACATCAGCACCCTTCCGAGCTGACGAAGGTTGTCGAAAGTGCCTATAATCTCTCGCAATTGCCGGATTTGGAAAGCTTGCTGGATCGTATCTCCAACGATAAGATGGTAGCAGACGTGAGAAGGAGTCTCTTAAATGCTATCAAAAAAGTTGCTAGATACAGAACTGCTGCCAGGGTTCTGTACAGGGCAGCAAAGAAATTTCCTATAGCACGCAGAATGAATTTCGTCCCGGTCAATCTCCACGAGGACGAGTTCACAAAAGTATCAGAGACAATGCAATCATCAGAGCGGGGGATATCCGAAGCCTTGTCAAGGACAACGTTATCGGAAGGCGAGCGGAAACAAATCAACTCATGGTATGGTTGGCTCAAAACAGATCATGAGAAAGCGGATCAACGATTCAAGGAACAGAAGATGCAAATCCTCGCTGGGGCCAAAATTCACGCAGAAGTACAGCTTGTTTTCTTCTGCGAAGCAAACAATTTCGAGCCACCTCCTCGGATTATCTCTTCTAGCAAGGACGCGTGTTTTCTTTGCAATGCGCTGATCAATGTACATGGAAAGCATCACATTCCACGTGGGCATGGGAGGCTTTATCCAGGCTGGCGCTTGCCTTGGTTTGCTGTGCCCAACAGCATACAGATCCTATTTGCAAAACATCTCGAGGACGTCATTAGCGGCTCTATCACAACGATGATACAAAGCCAGGGACGGATAAAACATCCGTATCCGAATGAAAGTACCGCTGTAACAGTCACAACGTCTAAGACTACTGTCGGTGGAGATGACGGCTGTCGTGCAATATCCTCGCGCAGCAATAGCCCAGCTAAGCTGGTATTGGCCCAGCCAGTTCCTATCCACGACCTCAAAGAGTTTGGGGAGCCCGCAGTCCGTTCACCAACATCTGGCTCTCCCTCTCAGTCCATCGCAAATATAGCGAAACCTCAAGACGAAATGGCTTTGGAACCACAACAAGTCGTTGATCAGGAAGATGGAAATCCAATATTACCAGAGAAAACCGAAGAAGTCGTAGATGAGGAGCAGCATGGAGAAAAGGTAATTTCGATATTACTTGGGTTACCTGAAAGAGTTGCAGATCAGAGAGAACATAAGGGAAAGGGAGATTCAGTATTCTCCGGGAAATGCGAAGAAATCGCAGATCAAAGAGGGGAAACGGAAAAGTTGGTGTTATCCGAGAAACCCCAAGAAGTCGAAAATGGGGGAGAAGAAAGAAAGGCAGTATGTCTTCCTGGGAAACCTCCTAAAGTCCCTCCACGGCCTCCAAGCAAACAACCCCCGCGGGTGTTCTCGGAGCGGTGGGCAAAGCTCTCAAAACCAACCCCAAACCGACTCATACAGGGAGCGTCTCGGGTGGTAAATGTGGAAGCCAACACCTCGTCTAGATTCTATAAGGGCGGATCCGTAGGATTGGGAATCGAATATTGCACCACAGGTCCGGCAGAAAAGAGAGTTGCACGAGATTTATCATGCAACTTGAAATGGTTAAATACCACAGACGCAGAAGCCGTCCGAGCCGATAAGGACGCTCTGGTCATACTTGTGGAAAAGTTGGAACCTGAGATTCCGATCCCATCGAGCGCGTTAGGAGAATGGTACATTGCCACAAAGAAGGTGATGATTCGTGTCCAAATACAATAGAGGGTAGTAAAGTATATAAATTTTGTAGATTCATTGCTCAATGGCGTCTCACATACTATAATCAGGGTTAAAGCTATCCAGGTTTTGAAAGTATTGATCCAACAAGCCCTATAGAGAATGTCAGTAACGAAGACTTATTATGTCATTTGTTTAAACTTACCCAGTCAAGACTCTCCGACCCATCAATCATGTGCGACATGGGTTCAGCATATGGAAGCTCCAAGTCGATGTCGGGGGCTGCTGAATCAACAACAGGGGCTGGCGATGGCGTAAAGCCGTAGACGCCCTTGTTCGCCACCTTCTTGATCATCAATTCCAGAGCAAGAGCAGCAATATGTGTCTCCGGCGATGCCGAGCGATTTCCCGCCCATATCCCTTGAGACACTTGCAATGCTCTATACTCTCGGGTTGTCAGATCCTGGTCTCCAGCCGCCACTGGCGACTGTGAACGCATCCGGACAGAGAGGTCCAGGCACAGCACCATGGCAGCGAGGAGGAAGTCGTGAATCGGCAATGACAATACCATCCACCGATCATCGTGTAATCGGCCTCCCGGTCCAGAAGCGTTATGCAGGTCTTCTTGTCGAGCAAGGATCTTCAAGGCTGCTTCCACGGATGCTCGTCGCGATGGAGCGTATTTGGGGCTGTTGAGATCGTAACTTATATAACGCCGATGAAGAATCACGAGGCCCTTGAGGTAGAGAATCTCGATTGTGCAGCGCTGCAGAATCAACGCGGATGAGTCCATGAAACTACGGTTCACATCTCGCCGCTGGAACGTATCTGGCATGCTTGCGTAAACCCGGTTGAACTCGGCATCCAGTGCCAGTGTAGATTCGTAAGATGGGACTGTAAGAGCTTGTGTGTGCGCCGCAATCTTCTTGAACATATTCATGACGGGGGCTTTCACGACAGTGTATAAGACAGGGGTATGTTCGGAAAACGAACGGCTAGGAGGCAGCTCCTTCATATCCATGCGAAGATCAGGATAATCGAGATTCCTAGGTACTTTCGAGTCACAGAACTCGGACGGAATCATACTCGGAAAGCCGAGCTGAAACGACATCAATGCCTCGATCTGGAATATATTTAGCCAGACTCGTCGCCGCATCTCGCCATCAAAGGCAGAGATCCCAGCGAGGTGTTCAGGATCGCGATGATATCCCATGCGAAAGGCAAGTCGAATCACAGTGCCCATCTCAAACCATAAGTTTACAGGTGCATGATCGCTAGTGATGAAAGATGTCTGGAGATGGATCAAGAACGCCTCGAGCGCAAAGGAGTTGGCAGTAGCATACTTTCCTAGGATAAGACACTGGATGAGCCGCTGCTGCATGAGCCTAGTAGAGGGTATCGATTCATCTATGTCGCCAGGTTTCGCAATGTTCTTGAGACATGTTGCAAAACCAAGAAGAGCGAAGAGAAGACCGGTCCAAAGGGGTGGCGCTTTTTCTGGGGCATCCCAGAATGCTTCATACTAGGAATATCTGGTTCAGCAAAAGATATAGTCAACTCCTGTTACTTACAGGTACTCACCTCTTTCTGGAACTTTGCAGGGTGAACGACTCCTTTCGAGATAAGACATGTCAGCTTCTAACCAGACTGTGGTTATCAAAAAGGACCTACCTCCAACAAGAAAGCGAGTAGAAAAATAGAACGACAGAAGGCGATCGCAGACAGGCTGCGGAGGCAGAGACGTAAGTATGTCGCTTATATCCACGTTGGGATTCGCTCCAAATAGAAAGCTGGCGTCGGGCTCTATCCGGTCATGTTCCTGGGATCCGCCATCATAAGGCGAGGGGTGACTGGACCCAGACAAATGTTCTCGAACTTCTTTGATGTCTTCCAGAATCGACAGCCAGTGGTTGCGATCAATGTAGTGAACCTGGCCATCGCCGGTCTCGTGCATATGCGGTGTCTCCGGAGTCAACGCGTTGTCTTCACCGCCAGCACGACTGGGACTTGAATTCGACTCTGAAGGTGTCACATTTTGAAAAGGGCCTGGTGCGGAGGGGGCTCTTCGCGTAGGATCATTCACGCGGCCTCTGTCTGTTTGGATGACCGCGTCTCCCGATAGAAAAGATGAAACCATCGCCTCAAGGGTATGAAGTCGCTCTCTGAGGTCGCGCTGAGGCCCCGAGGGGGCAGGCCTGGATCTGTTTGCGTTGCTCGCATAGTGGCATAGCGAAGACTTGTTTCGTTTAACACAAGAGTCGCAGGGCAGCTCACGGTTGCACTTGAGTCTGCGGATTCACCAATTAGTCCACTGCCTGACACTCGAAATGACCTTCTCAAGCTGACTTTCTGGTGCGACACGGCTCGCATGAGACGGGCGGTCGATTGCGTTTTTCCACCTTTCTGGAGCCGGAATCCATTGCAATTGAGTCGCTGACCGGATTTAATTCCAACCTGGAGCAGAGACAAGGCGAAATATCTGGGCTTGCGAAAGGCAATGGAGATTCCCATGTCTTGGAATGTGCACGGAGAAGACTCTTGGGCTGAGTCTGGCGGAGAGACACGGTTTCTCTGATGCGAGTACCGATTACTAGATGAGCCCTGATGTCTAAGTTTCTTTTCACATAACATTCACTGGAAAGTACATACGCCCCCTGTACCCGCTGACAGTTTCTACATGCAAGGGCGGAGTTATTAAAGCCGCTGTGGGGCCAAGCAATATCCCCGTTCCAGCGCCGTCAAACATCATCGTGACATCAAGGAGAGAGTTTGTCAGCGAGAGGAGGATATATTAAATCCTTGAAAAATAGGGATTGTAGTCTATGAGATGTTTGGTATAAAGCAGCCGTCTGTATTGTATTGAAATCATGTTGGCGCATCAATTCAAGTTATCACCACTATCTCACCCTCGCATTGTCATAGATCTACGTTTTTTCTTTCACGTATTTCAATTTCACAACCTCTAAAAAATAATCAACATGGCTATTCTTGCAGCGCTCGAGGGTACCGGCTCAGTCATGTACGCCAACTTATTCGTCAAGCTCCCAGCCCCCAGCTCAAAGGCCAACCTCTCAGAACAAGTCTTTGTGGTCACTGGTGGCAACGGTGGTCTAGGGTATGAGTCGAGTCTTCACCTCTCAAAACTTGGTGTTGGCAAACTGATTATTGCCGTCCGCAACAAAGCCAAAGGCGAGGCGGCACGACTAAAAATTCTTGCTTCTAGCAAGCAACCCGAGTCATCAATTGAAGTTTGGGAGATTGATATGGACAGTTATGACTCGATTAAAGCCTTTGCTGCTCGAGTCTCGTCCGACCTGCCTCGAGTTGATGGCATTCTGGCCAACGCGGGCATTATGACGAGTAATCTTGCCTGGAGTGAAGGTAGCGAAAGTTCACTGAATGTGAATGTCATCTCTACTTTTCTCCTTTTTTTCCTGCTTCTTCCTAAGATGCGAGAGTCCGGGAAAAAGACTGGCAATCCTTGCCGATTCACCATCCCCAACAGCGCCTTGCATTACATGGCTCCCCTTGGCGAGCTTCAGCCAGGAAAGGGGAGCATTTTGGACCGTCTGAATGATGGGAAGACCGCAAACATGGGAGGCCGATATCCCCTCACCAAGCTCCTGGTGCTTTATGTCGTGCGCGAAATCGCAAAGAGAGCACCCTCGTCCGGCGAAACAGGGCACTTCATTATCAACACACCCAACCCCAGCTTCTGCAAGTCGGACTTGGCCCGGGAGAATGCAGACAGTGCTGGCTTCAAGGTATTCGAAAGAGTTCTGGCTCGCTCCACAGAGGAAGGAAGCCGAGCTCTTCTCAACGGCGTACTGGGTGGCAAAGAGACTCATGGCCACTATCTGAACAATTGTCAGGTGCAGCCGTAAGTGATAAACCCCTCTATTTGAATCTCAGTTAAGCTTTTGAACGGGATCTAACTTTATTCCAGGAACCCAGCGTGCCACGTTACAGACAAGTTCGGGCAACAGGTGCAAACTGCTTTCTTCGAGGAGCTCATCGGCAAGCTCGAAAGTATCCAACCAGGTGTATCCTTGACTCTTTGATTGGTTTTCTGGTGAATTGGGTAGCTCTTGATTTTTTCAATTACTTTTGACGGATATTGTATAATCATTTTAGTAGAGATAATAATTCATTTTAAACTTATTGGATGTATATGAGATCACAAATTGCGGAACTTGAGAATGGGAGCTTTGAAAAATGCCGGGGCTGTCGGTCCTCAAGATTTTCTAGAAAGAATAAATCAAACACGACATGTAGGTAGATGATGACACCTCTCAAGATGGACATGGCCCTTGCTTATTATTACGGCGGTAATTACCCAGCCCTGAATCAGACCCCAGAAACCTCAATTGGCGTTATTCCTAAAAGAGGAGAAGTCCCACTGTTTGCTCTAGACTTTTTCGGGGGGATGTTGCGGGCTGAAACTCAAGCCCCTGAAGGGTCGTTGTGATAAACCAACGACACCTTGACGCTGTCGAGCCACCGGTTGTGAGACTGGTAATGAACAATGCCTAGCGCTCCCAGATCAACAGCTTGCCAGATATGCAAGCAGAAAAGAACCAAGGTACGTGTTCCAGGCCCCTCCGCCGTAGGAACACGCCCTCATCACCGCTTGTCCACAGTGCGATAAGAAATGGCCAGCATGCACGCAGTGCATTCGAAAGGGTGTCGAATGCCCGGGGCCTTCCTCCCTGGTCAAGTTCGTCAGAAATGGCCACCACTCTGCTCCCAATGCGCACAACCAGACCTTGGCCGAACGTTCCGAATCATCCTTATCCCCTCAGCGGCGGGTCATGATTAGTCAAGGCCCTCTGAAGCCATATCGTGGTGGAAATGCGGTAGAGGGTAGCTTTCGTCTCCAAGTCCCCCGTTCTAAACTTCAAACTGCCGTGGATAGCATTGGATCTCTGTTGATTAGTCTCCTGGATACAAGGGGAACTTCAACTTTTGGGACCCTTCACTTTCTGGAGTTCTGTCCCAAGAGGATGTCACAAAGTGCGTGTTTGCGGGATTGCGTAGCGCTCTATTGCCACGCTTGGATCCAGTGCCATCACTACCGTCAACCCGTTTCGAAGGTGCTCGAAGGCAAAACTTACGGCGACGCAATCCGGAGCTTGCGAAAAACAATGAACGGTGATAAACTGTACACACCTGAGACGCTCGGCGCAATGGTACTACTGGAACGATTCATGTATCCTTGCAGGCTCTCTAAGCCGAAAGAATTAGTACGTCACCAACTTGGAATCCGGCATGTTATGAAGCAAATTGGCCCTCCAAATCCAGATGACGACCTGCACAGCTGGCTGGTTCGGGGATCAGTCAACACGATGGTGAGTTCCTCGCAACTTTCTTCAATCTCGTTGACTAACTCGTATCGCAGTATTATGTTGCCAAGTATGACTCTAGTGAAGATTCCACAGAACTCGAAGGCGATACGCCCACCAACGAGGCAACTGGAACATCCCCTTATTGGGGGGACGGTAGCCACTGGGAAATAAAAGAAGAAGAAGATGATCGTGATTATGATGATGAGTTGGCGACATATGACGACGAAGACGATGACGACGGGGCCATTGACGATGTCAAACAACAAGATGCTCTCATTAACAGGGGGAGAGGTCTTGTCTTGCATATCGCGATCCGTCACACCAAGAACTGGCTACCCAAGATAAGCGAACTACGACAGAATCCTTCTAATGCTGAGTGGCAGAAGGCCGCCCTCACCCAAACGATAGAGAAGCTAGAAATGGCTCTCGGTAATGTATTGAATAAAGTCTGGAACTCGTGTTTGGCTTCAGGGTCTATCATTGAGAGTCTGGATCCCAGCTTCTTCCTTGGCCGCAGGGTCGACTTTGTATCCTCAAAGCTAGCAGAGGATCTATTGAGTATGCTTCTCTACCATGCCATGACCGTACGTATGCTTGGTGTCTTAGGAGACATCCATGGGAATGCGGACGAGTCACTCTTGAGCAAGTACAAATGCATATGCCACCGCTGCTGGTTGTGCTTTCCATATTTATGTACCGTCGACGCCGTTTTCCAAGCTAGCATGTTCAATAAGCTCTTGGTTACACTCGAGCCTGCGACTTTGGAAGAGCTTGGTCATTTCCTCGCCCTAGATATGGATTGGGTGTCATGTGGCGTGAAAGATCCGAAGGACGTCAAATCGTTCTTCTTTTGGGTTCACGGTATGGTGACCTTCTTCACGGGCCAATCAAATTGTCCAACGGGGTATTGACAAGACAGACGGACCCCGCGGATTTACGAACGCGAGATATTCGGCATCCCATGATCCGATGCTTTGCTTTCTTGCGCCGTCATATATATATTACGAAGGAAAGAGTTTTGATCGGTAAGGCTAGATTGAACGCCAAGTTCGCCTTCAATCTACTATAATTATAAATAGAAACTCATATTCATACTTGCGATATCTAGGTGGTCAGGCAGATGAATTTGAACAATGGAAGGCGCTGAAAGACTTGGCCACGGCTCAAATACAGAGTCAAATTGCGAGGAAATGATTGAGCGACGGTACTACAAACTGATTTATACTACCACCACATGCCCATTCCCTTTCCCTCATATCGTACTAGGGTATAAAACATGGTTATCAATGATCTTGTCCGTTCTTGGTAATGTGCAAACTGTTCTTCCAAGTTATCATCAAGTGAGAGAACCTTATCCCAGTATTCTGATCCATTCATCAAGCTTCAACCAAGGAGGGTGGTGGGAGACAGTCCCAACCTATCACTCCTTTGTCTTGGAAGTAACAGGAGTCGTGTTGATGCAAGCCCCCCCACATGGCCTTCCCTGTCTACATGTCATCGTAGGGGTGCAGGTACCCTTCGGCTGGCACGGCCGATTATGCCCAACGATGCATCGAGTGACGGGTATTGAGGTCGGTGTTGCGATACACGCTCCGCCGCAAGGCGAATTAGTAGTGCAAACCATAGTCGGCGTGCAGGTGCTTCCGCTTGAACAGGGAGAATTATCGCCAATGGTGCACTCTGTAGGGGCGGCATAGGTAGAAATACATTGACCACCCCAAGGGAGGCCAGAAGTCGAGTATTCTGTCGGCGTACATATGCTGCCTGTTGGGCAAGGGGCGTCGTTGCCCACGGTGCAGGGGATGACGGGTGGGTAGGTTGGAGGGTCAATGCAAAGGCCTCCGCAGGCTGTGCTGGTTTGGCAGACCTCCGTTGGAGTACAGAACCATGAGGTTGGGCAAGGAGAGTCGTCTCCCATGGTACACGGCACTGTGTATTTGGGAGGGGGAGGCGTGGTTGTTGCGAAGCTGGTGGTGACTGGAGGGCTGGCGACAGCAATCGAGGCGAGCACGCTTAGGAAAGCAACTAGTGGATACATAGTGTATAGTAAAACCGATAGGATTAAAACTCAGGAGGCTTGATTCTTATTTTAGTGAGCAATGTGTGAATAAAATCGAGTGGCGATTGCCTTTCGTCAAGTTACGACTACGGGATGGAGGCTGTTTTATCGACGACAAAACCGGCCCGTCGGCTTACAACCAACTCACAACTCACTTATATGCGGTTATCGGTGTACGTAGAAATGCCTTCTAGGATAGAAGCCCTGTAGTCGGCACAGCGAATGATGTGGGAAGAAATTCTCGTATTGCGTTGAACCCGTGACGCTTGTGGCTGGGCTGAACACCAGCTGAAAGTGACCAACCTATCAGATCACGATTTACTTTGCATGGCGTCGACCTGCATTTCGTATTCACCGCCCATACTGGTTCTTTCCCTCTCGCTTTCATCGCATTCGCGAGACAGTGGCAATGAGTGATTTCCAGCATTGTTGGTGAAGCACAGATTGAAATTTATCACATCGATGATCATAAAACTACCCCGGCATTGTTGATTCCTGAGACTAGCAATAATCAATATAGATAAAATTGAAAAAGTTATGTCTCCTGATACTCCTGGGCTAGGCCTGCCTTTTAACAGTTGATTCCCGGGGCGTCATCGTTACCTATCTATAGACTATTCCCGCACACACGGCCTTGATGCCAAGTCCATCTAGTTATTCCTGTCAAGGACAGGCCTGTTGCCTGGCTCGGGTATATGGTGGAGTGGGCTTATGACCTGACCTGCCTAGCAAGCTAAGATCAATAAGAAAGAATCACTTTCGCAATTGTATACTTTGTATAACAGGACTCTATGGAAGAGTAAAAATGGACAGCACGGTTTGTAAACTAAGACCGTAGAACACCCTAAACAGCCATGATTTGCGTACCTTTCGAATATGGCGTCGAATTCCAAACCTGTGAATGTGGTTGTAGCTGTTCAATTTCCAGCCCGTTTTGATGCATAGATGGAAAAGAAGCCGCATAACTTCATTTCAAAAGCCAGATCGGCAAGACATTATTACGCTCTAGGGACCTGGAGATGAACTCTCGCGTGCTACTCCTGGTAGCCAGAGAGGATGCTACCAATCATGTGTACTTACGCAAAGGTAATGCAGTAGTAATCCTACTGATCTCAAGGATTTACATTTATTCATTCCGGCTTATCTACAATTAAGAGCCCTTCCTGGTTAACAATATTCTTTCATAAAATCCTTATCATATTTATACCTCAAGATGGCAATTTTATGGCCTTGTGAGATATGTTCTCTCAAGAGATCAAGTGTTTTAATTTAGGAGGCGCTAAAGTTCTTATAGAGAGAGGAATCATTGGTCTTCATTTTCTTGAAATTGTGGCTTTATTGAAGACATCTTAAAACTCTTCGTGCCAATGTGGTATGCTCATCGCTTCTCCATTTTCACACCTATTCGAGCGCCTCTTAGGATCCCGATTTCCCTTCTTACTATCGTAATCAGCACCCATTATATATTTCTCCCAAATAGGCTCCAGCCCTAAAAATGCCCCAAGTGTTAGATGGAAATCCAGTAGGCCAGGGAGTTCAGATTTAATTCCCTGCACCAGGATCTTATAACCGTTGTATAAGTTCTTCAACTTTGGTTCAACGTGATTCCACCAGCGGCCCCAGTCACTAGCGCAGAAAACTGTGATCGAAAGTTGGGACAAATCGCAATGTCTACCAATGAAAGATAATAGCGGGAGCCATGTGTTTTCAAGCTCCCTCCAATAATAACTCTGGGTCGTGTTAATGGCAAACGTAAGACGCCTGAAATACATACAAGTACTCGGCTTGAGTGATTGAAGCATCTCCAGAGTACGAAGAAATGGGCCACTGAATGTGAAATCATTGGTCGAATACAAGACTGCGGTAGCATCATGGTAGGTCTGGCGATTAACGAGAAAAAGGTTGAGAGGGAGATTCCTGCACAGGCAGTGAGGCGAGTAAGATGCATATTTCGATAGACAGGAGCAATCAAGTTTGGTAAAGGAGCAGTTTAGACAGCACTCTCTCCTCCTGGTCTCGAATGGGCTATGCCATAGCGAGTGATCGAATTTTCCTTTCAAGATAAGAATTGTCTGGTACTCGGTCCACCTATATGACCCGTCTGGACCAAGGCCAGTGTAGCGCAAAATCTGGTGGCGAATCTCCGGTGGTAGAGACTGGAAGCGAAAGCTTGATGGTGTGTTCTCGCCGTGGGTATCGCCGGAATCGACAGCCGTTAGTCGCGTTGCAGCCGATTGAGCAAGAGAGCGAAGAGATTGATCGGGATGTCGACCAAGCCTTATAGTACATTGCTTGAGTTGTGGGAGCATATACAATGGCTCCAGAATCTGCTCAGCTGTTGCTACATCCGTAACATCGCAGATGAATTCTAGACTGAGACGTCCAGGAATAGTCAAGGATGCGAGGCGAGAGCAAACAACCGACCACTGCGTAATCATTGGCCCCGAGTGAATATCATCTGCTGAAATCTCTGCGTCGCTGGAGGACACTGAAGCTAGACATTGCAAGCAAAGGCCCGGTCCCAAGTTGGCCTCGCTATGTCCGCGGTAGCAAGGCCAACTATTCAGCCGGACCAAGAGATGCCGCAAATTGGCTATAGCGTTACTGGCGAGTATGTCGAATATCTTGAGGTCCTCAGCTTGATGTGGGCGAAGAACAAACTTATTCTCACCGTAGAGTATCGCTTGGACCTCGCCATGAATAACCTTATTGAGAAGCAAGAGCTGTTTCGGGAAATCCGGGCAAAAGCATTCGGGTTCACTCTCAGGGATGTCTCTTGGGCATAATATCCTGCGCCTTTCAAATTCGCAATCTAGAAGACGATCGGGATCTGGTGAGCGACTCACTACCCGCGAGGCTGGTGTTATAATGACCGGGCATTCTCGTGTCAAGTGGGCCGATAGATATATCCGCTTGCGGATTAGATAGGGCAATGAGAGAAAGCTCGCAGGCATCGTGCTGATCAAGACTACCAGAGGCGTCAGTTACAGGACAGATGAATATTATGAGTAGCGACGAGAAATGGAAGTTTGGAGCAGGATTTATAATCCCGCATCTGTCTCACAGCGTTACAGCATAATGGCTGCCCGATAGCGGACAAGTTGATCCCGACCCCGCTTGGACGTCGATTATTAATAGATGCTGACGCGGTATTCGTACGACTTGGGTTGTTAAGAGAACAGCATCTAAGAAGCTGGCTACTGCCTAAGAGAATCGTGCCCAAGAAGGCGGTGATTAAGAAGGCGGCTATCAGGAAAGCGGCCCTTAGAATGCTTGCCCCGAGACAGTCTGCGAACAGAAACTGTGCGTAGAGTTAGTGAAGATTCCTCGACTTAAGACAACTGAAGGGAGTGGGAATGTTAGGTATAGACTGCCCAGAAAGACTCGGATATTGTTTTCTTAAAAACGCGTGAAATAGCTGTAAGATAGGGAAGAGGGTAGGTTATATCCTTATTCTTAGATACACAGGAGCGGGCCTTAATTCACGGAGACATATAGGTGAAAGTAAACGATTAAGAGTCTAGAAAAAGATGTAAAGGCTTTTCAGACAAACCGTACATGACATCCCTGATTCCACCAGTGTATGGTCGTATGCGAGGTTCTGGCGATACATAGATCGTCAAGGAAAACTGGAGACGAATCTGCTTTAGGCTATTATCCTTGCCGAGATCAATTTTAGCCCTGTCTATACTTGAGAACCCATGATTATGGACTTCCTAGCGAGGTGATATTCGAAAATTACACTCTTCCCTCTGTGTTGTTCACTCAACTGCCAGGAGTATTGCGTGAAAAAACTTTCCCTAGATCGGAGGGCGAAATATTCCATATAATGTCATGTTTAGGTCCTTTTTTAAGCTTTAGCGAACGGCCAGAAATTTGGAAGTCGATTGAGTCAACGTGTTTTTTTTTTTTTTGCAGATATCAAGCATTGAAACTGGAGAGCTAGTATCAGTCAGTCTTGTCCGGCCAGCCCCTCTGAGCATGAAAAGGACCCTCATCAAAGGAGAGCTCATGTCATTGAGTGCTCATAGCTCCTTGGAAATCTCGAACTGATTCTGGACTACCAAGACTTGACATACGAAAGCCTCTGCCGCATTGAGCCTGCAAAGGCTCTTCCGTGGCGGAACTTTATCTGCCCATACGATGTTTGAATAGAATTCGATGGAAGGTTCCGGACAGACATGTTGAAAAGAAAACTCTAACCCTAATGATTTGGCCCGGCACCGAAAGCTGTACTATAAAGCCGAGAGATTGCCCCTGTCCGAGAGTAAAAACAAGGTCTGCTCAGCCAACTCACACTTATCCCCCATCGCTCAAGTCTGGAGTCACAAATTCAATCCCGATTTTTTGCTCATAATTTCAAAGACGGGTCCCAATTCAAACAATCAATCATTCGACCATGGGCCTACTCGGAAGGTCGTCAAAAGGTGCCAAAGATCCGCCCCCATACACTCCTCGTAAGGGGGGTCAGCCATCCACCTCATCGACCGATGAAGAAACAAAGCAAAGGCCCAGTGCCCCTGTGATAAGTCATGCGGGTGCCATGGTGGATCGGTTAAGATCGCTGGTTGTAAAGTCCAGGCGGGGCCAAGGTGCTGGTATGAGCGAGTCCTTTTGTCCGCCAAACACATGGAGAGCACACAGATCAATCGAATTGGGTTCCTGCAAATGCGCTGTTGAAATCATGTCCATGGACCCTCTCATGGCCGCTGCATCTCACAATTTGACCTGCAGCCGCCTCTGTCAGCTTCCAGAAAAGATCCTCATCGGTATCATGAAGCTTCTTGACCCTCTTGACATGCAATGTCTGAGGCGGGCATGTCGACTCTTCCTGCGTCTGTACTGTGATGCTAGCTTCGCAGATAGTCATGACGTGCAGGGATTCTGGCATTGGATGTCGGGATACCAACATTGGCTGAGTCCTGACACATCATATTGGCCTAAAAAATCTGGTCCTACACTGATTTCTCGCCTTGAGAGAGATGTTCAACATCTGTGCGGTAGCTGCCGCTCTATGCGGGCGAAATCAGATTGGCCTTCTAGGGTTAAGGAACTGGACACAGAGTCTCTCTACTGCTGGGGTTGTAAGAAACATCACCCTTCAGTCCTCTTCTCTCCATATGAGCGAAAAAAGAAAGATGACCGTATCTGCATTGGAAGACAGGGACATATTCGTCTGTGCGATCATAAAGTGGTGACTTGGGATATGGTGTCAAAGGCAGCTGCACAGTTGATTAAAGTCGATGCTAAATTCCGGGCTAGAATCCCGCTTAGCCGTTATGAGCACCCTGAACACCATTCGAAGCATCACAAAGAGGCTATGAAAGTTCAATGTCCTAATGTTTCGCCATATGTCGAGATATATGGAGTCGAGGGCCACGACCTTGTGTTAAGCTTGAATTGGCAGGGTCACATGGTCGTAGAGGGAGACGCACCGATCAAACCTGCAGTGTTATGCAAACAGTTGGAAGAATTCCGCAAGGGAGTAGCAGAGTTCATCGCGCCCAAGCTGCCCCCGGGGCGATTGCCAGAAATGAGCTGTTTCGACCCAAACCGTTGCGACTGTCTCTACTTTGAAGGCATGGAGCAATTGCCAGACTGGCCTCGACCGTTGCCCGATGCTCTCAAGATGGACAGCTGTCGAGCTCAGCCAGAGTCAAGACTAACAGCACTTCGAAACGCGGCCGAGGACCCCGAAAGTTGGGCAGGTGGTCACAAGGCTACGATGCAATTTATAGCTAACTCTGGGTATGGAGTATCTGAGTTGCAGGTTTCCGTCGAGCCTTGCATGACCGGAGAAAACCGATGCTTGGCAATTCGCTATAGGCGTCTTATTGGATTGTGCTATGGTAGAGACGGTCAGCACAAATGGTTAGATCAAGTCACACCAGCCTGGTGCCAAGCTCTAGAGCCCAAGTCTTATGAACTGACAACCCAAGATAGTAAGGCCATTGGCATTAATTGGTGTCCTACACGGGGCTGCATGAATTATTACGGGTATCTAAGAAAGGCTGTGGCTCCCGTTGACCGAACCAATCGATAGCGGTATCCAATCCACCAATTACACAGTTTGTGGCTATAGAAATCCTCACGCCATCATACCTGCGAGTTGAAACCAAACCCAAATGGCCACAATGTACTCGCAGCAGATGTGGCTTTTGTTAATGACATTGAACGGCTATGACACGCAAGCAGGTGGAACGGAGTTGGAAATGTCCAAGATTCAAGATTGATGCTGGCGCAACACGGGAGTAACAACTTAGTGACTGCCTAGTCTAAAGTAAAAAAGAAATGGTCGATATGCTCTTACGGAGGCAACATCTTAGAGAAGTGGTTAGGTAGACAGACAGCTCTTTGCAAGCAATATAAGAACCCTAATCTCATGCTGCTGCTTCGTCCAACAGTACACTTCATTGGATGTTTAAAGATGGTCAACATTAGACAAGCCAGAGTAACCTGCAATCGTTGAGTCGGGTTTCATGTCTTGCCCAACCACATTTTCCTTGTTAGCTGGGCCCTACCTTCACATCACTAGGTAATTTTGCGTACTAAAACAAAAGGCACAACAAAAAGAGGCGAAGGACGAAAATACAAAAAAGAAAACATACAACAGCAGGTATTCGCTGGTCGTCACCGACCCAACTACTAATCCGCCCCTCAGATGCTTGACTATGGGAGAGCAGACGGGATCCCGTATTCTCAACTGGGTATGGTCGTATGTGACGGACTGAGGCCATTTCGAGACTGAAGTATCCGGGGAAAGCACAGACGGCGACGCCGGAAAAAGGGACATACACTCATTCCGCTCAACTAGTGATCTCCCTTCAAGGCTTATCGATGGGAGAATGGGCGGGTATGCTTAACTACTTGGTGAGGGCCTGATTAGGAGAGACTTTCAATATCCACTAAGCACGTTAAAACATTGACTTGTCCAATAAATGTCGTCCTGCGAACTACCTTAAGACTACTTGAAGTTGAGCCTCTGCTGTCAAGATTAAACGAAAAGAGGTGTAGCTAATTGACGACATAGAATCCGTGTGCTTCACCCACGCAAACAAATAGGGGACCAAATATTTCGCCTAGTTTAGGCTTCTTGCGGGGGATCTTACTCAATGGGATCTTGAACAGAGTACTAAGAGCAGTAAACTCACTTAGTAGAGACATTTGGTCCTTCTTGCCGTATAGCACTGATATCTGTCCGCCCTAGGAGGAGAAAAGGACAAGAAGAGAACTCAATAAGTGCCGCAATGTATGTCTGAAACCAAACTCTATGAACACCTGATATAAAAGTAGGATAACTTTTTGAATATTTTGTCCCTCAAAGGACCCCATATGCAATATCTACGGCCTGCTCTAAAAGTCTTCAGGCGGCCAGTATCGCATATCCAACGCGATCATGACCGAATTTGTATGAGATACACATTTTATTAACCGCTCACCACCATGTCACTTCACCCAACGCTCGTCCTTCAGGTACATGTTAATAGGCAAAACCACATCAGCCATAAGAAACCAAGGCGTATTTCTTACTATTTCGAAAATTCCTTGTCCACAATGGGATCCCGATCGCGCTGAGTGATACTAAGCCTTACCTGTTGTTTTACATGCTGGAATCCTGTTATTGGAGGATGGAGCGTTAGGCGACTGTCTGCCTTGCCTAGGGAGCCCTGGTGGATGCAGCCAACACGAGGTAGAGAATGAAGCCTTTATGTTCTTTATATTTACCCTACCACCCATCATTGTTGCCTTTCGTATTCATCCTGATGAGAAGTCGGGTTTGGCATCTTCCATTGCTCGTTTGTACTTTCTACTCGAACTCTCACCAAAGTCTGCTAGTCAGTATATTCTAGCGTCAATGTGGTTGTGGCTAGGTCCAGCGTGACAGGGAAATGTGATCCAAAATGTCAGCGTACACTTTTGCAGATCCCGTACAAAGAATTCCCTAGCTTTACGATACCCTGGATGCTTGGCCGCAATAAGCATAGAGTGCCTCCTTACAAGGGTCTGAAACATGCCGTGGTCAGATTTGATGTTCCCATATTAGCGAGAAATCCTTTTGTATCACCCATTTGTGACCAATCTCCACAATTCAAAGTAGCAGGCAGGCTCTTCAGGTTTTCAGCCCTGAATCCTTCCGATACAATCTCTACCGAGAATGCTTCCATCAAGGCACCTCCAACCAACCTCTTTATGTAGAGTAGTTTGAGAGGGCAAGTTTTCCTCCTGCCTTCACAGGTAGTTCTGGGAGCAAGTCGGTTCGCTCTTCCCTTCGAATACCTGATGAATCGGAAACATGCCAGGCGTTTCCAGACGGAAAGGGGGATGCATCTCATGCAGAGCCGGCAGGGTGAAGGTAGGCATCTCCTCCACTTGAAGTGGTCTTCCGAGACCCTAGCATGAAATATCAAATAAATCTAACCGCAAACGTGTTACTGGTGAGTTTACAGTGCGGTGGTGGCAACCCTTGTGAAAGATGCAGATTCAGAAGGACAGAATGCAAGCCTTATTCGCGCGACTTCATTTTTATTCAACAACCATTTCCAAATCCAACGCAAGGACAACCAACGACTGCAAAGCGTACCCGACGAGGGCGTGAACCCTGCTCTTTACCCTTGCAACACGATCCAGTGCCTTGGCGAAGAACGTTGGAGGCGTTTGCAAGCAGCGGAACCGTGAACTGCAAGCAAGTCGTCGCCCAATATGTAGAACGTTGCCCCAAGGCCCCGAAATCGGGCGGCGGTTTCCTGTTCTGGTCTTCTCTCTCTTGGATGCAGCACCTTTGTACGAGCAGTAATGATTCTGTTTCCCTTCGAGATTCGGGGGTTGCGGTAGCTATCGCTGGCCTAGCTCGTGATCGAGGAGACGAGGTGTTGCTAAGAAAAGCAGATGTCTTTTACGTTAACGCATTGGGCGCCCTCCACAAAGATCTTTACAACACCAAGAGTCACATCTGTGATGCAACACTGCTTGCATGCCAGGCCATCAACCTTTATCAGTTTACTGGTCACAATCATACAATGGCTGAATGGACCTCTCATGCTAAGGGACTGGCTCAAATCCTGCAGCTACGAGGGCCTGCAGCACACACATCCGGAGTCGGGCATGCCATCTTCGAAAGCTGTCGCATCAATCTTATCATCGCTTCTCTATGCCAGCAAGAGGACACTTTCCTAGCACAAGATTCGTGGAAATCCTTATCCTTGTCCATCGAAACAAACAACCAATTTGATAGAATCGTCGACATTCTAGTAGGGCTACCAAATCTAGTAGCGAGAGCCAAAGACCTTGGTAGCTGGGCAGATTCAGCCAAGAAGGACAACGCCCGAAGCGCCTTGTTCGAACAGTGTGTGAACCTGATGAGAGAACTCAAGGCATGGTATGGCGCGCTTCCTGCGAGCTCAAGCGACCCGCTTCTAGTTCGTCGACCATTGTCACTTCCAGTTCTGCAGCCAGATAGTATAGAGGAAGTTTTCAAGGATACATACGAATTTTCTAGTGTTGGTTCCGGGCAGATGCACATATTATATTTTGCCTTCTTAACACTGGTCTATCATCTCATCCAACGCTTTGACCCGGCTTTATACACGAGACAAAAACTGGTATCCTCGCCTTTGATTTATCAACCCTCAAATGGTAGTATGTCTGTGTCCATGATTGACAGCCCTATTACAAAAGGCATTAGGATAACCCAGCAACGCATGTGGGCACCAAGGCAAGAAACCGTTGATACTCTTTGTTTATCAGAAGTAGCAAAGACATATGACCCTATACAAACGGCCAGCCAAGTTTGTATGAGCATACGGTGGTGCCTAGAGCATATTGGTGAGAATGATATTGGCCCATATCACACCGGTTTCTCTCTCTACCTAGCATACAAGTGCTTCGAAGTAAACCTACCTTCAACCCAGCCTCATTTAGATTGGTGTCATCGTCTAATTGCTTTGCTCGAGAGCAAAGGCATACAGTACAGAAAGGGGATAATCGGAATATACGATGAGTCGCAATTATTTAATTAAAATACGTCTTCATAATGATCATCTAATCAACAAATAAAGTTTCAATTTTGTTATTACTATTATATGGTGCTCATCATCACGTCTCATATAGTTTCTTGTTGAATAATAAAAGTTGGGAGATTTCTTTTTCTCTCTTCTTGCGTGTGCTGCATCAGCAGTGCCCAGAAAGAAGTATTGGAACAACAAAACCAAGCAATGACCCGCTCTCAGTTGGCAGAAGCGGCTTTGAGGCTGATTTTGACAACCCACAGCAAAGACCCTCAAAGCTACCTCCTGTATGGCGGAGGTCGGTTGATGTTGCTCTAATCTAGGATTTGTTGCCACCATCTGGAAATGCTTGTTCCATTCTGAACAAGGAGAGCTCTTTCTCCAAGCTGTCGAGGACCACGTATGAAGTCTCGCGCGAGCTATTACTGTGGGATTGGAGAATAAGGCGATCTGATAATTGAGTATACTGGTCTAGGAGGTATCGTTGCAGCATTGGTGACGATGGCGTATCCTTGTGACTAGAGGGTCTATATGATGAGGTTAGCTGTAATCTGATGACACCAACAACATGTCGACACTTGGTTCAGCTCAGCGAAACTGTTTCAAGATAGTATGATATTGGCCCTACATTTGAGAACTTTGGCGAGCCTCTTGGATTCGAGAGGGGCACATCATTCAGCCCACATTCGGATGTGAACCTGGTGTATAGCACAAGATGGCAACTCTGTCGGCCAGGTACTAATAAATGCGCTCGTTGTGGATTTAGTGACAAATGAGGATTTACTTCTTCATATTTCTAGAAGAAATCCATGGTAGCGATCATAAACTAATATCATTATCACATGATTGTTTCATTCCCCAGCAAAACAAATTCAAGTAACATTCCCCGATTTACAAGGGTATCGGGGACCCATAACACGAACATAATTGACGCTCTGGAGTAGCATATGAGTGTGTTGGTTGGCGCTTGACCTATTCCAATCAGGCTAACATTTTTCCATCAAATCGCTCAAGCCTACTAGCTGCACTTCTGGTATTGGAATGTGACTCTGGCAGTTATCCGGTCAATAGTGCTTGTTCCACGTTTGCTCCCCTGCTTGTCCGTCAGCATCTTCCTTGAATGCCAAGTCTGAAACTCCCACAAAGTCGACCAAAGTGGAGTATTCTCAAGAGCTACAGGATCCATGTTACATCGTCGACCTTAGGCAGGTAAATCTCACGAATACGATGCCAGTTTCGGAAAATCCCTGTCTTAGGTGGAGTAAGGGCAAGTCTCGGTCTTCACACGAATCGTTGTAGCATAATCCTTGACATAGTAGGCGAACCATACAGTTTGCTGATATGGACTAGTACAATCAGATGATCTAGAAGCTGGTGGTCCCAATAGGGATGGTTTCCCTTTTCTTCAACCACTTAAGAAATCAAATTCATAACTATGAAAGTATGTCAAGTTTTAAATGTATCTCAGAATGGTACTCGCAGTGAATCGGCTTGTACTTATTTTCCATCCTTCAAAAGAGTATTTTCTTAGTCTAGTTCTGGTCTCTCGCGACTGGATTGCAGCTGTTCTAATTCTCTTTCGGAAATCCGCCCCGATCTAGCCGAGACCACCTGCCTTCTTCGTATTCTTGCTCGAAGTTAGGAGATCTTTAATGTATATTACCTTGGGCGGATCGTAGAGGTTCTAGATTGACTCCTTGACAATTACTTGTCTTTTGTTTTTCGGTTTAATCCCCTCTCATTTCATTAAGTTTAAATAAGTACAACACTTTGAAAATCTCTTCTTGGTCATTATATTCGACCTTGACGCTAGGCCAATCGCATGCGTTACTTGACGAATGCTCCCTCGTAATAGTAAATAAACCATACCCTAATGAAATGAAGGCTAGAGGACTATGCTCTTTACCTATGAGCTAAGTTTTTATAAGACTCATTATATGGCCTCTCATCGTAATTTCAATTCCAATAGCACTTGATTACATCTATTCCGTCACCAACAAAAGCACTAGCTATGGGCTTCTTTTACAGCATTCTCCTAGGTGCGTTCTTGAAAACAGTTGAGCTTATCATGTGAAGGCCTACCAGTCGGATGACCGGTGGCAGCGTAAAAAGTACCAAACCTAAGATGAATCCACTACCTGAGCTCCTCTCAGACAAAATTTTGATGAACTTTTAGATAGACAATAACTTACACTAGGTAGTGTGAATAGCTTCTCATTGACCTCGCTGCAATTGTAAGGAAAGTGGATGTTGACCGACTTCGGTCACTGTGCCTACTATGGAGGTGGCTCCGACATCACGCCATACGCTTGTTCTTATCATAATATTATTTTACAGAGAAGTATAAAGCTAGGATCAAGATAGAGTATAGAAACTGTAGGATAGGAACTTTATAGATATTTAAAATATCTATTAAGTTTTATTAATAAGCTTACTAGACTCTATACTATTTATACTAATAATACTTACTTAATTAACTATATATAATAAATATATATCTATAGATCTATTCCTAATCCCTACTACTCTTATTTATAAGCTTTAGAGATTCTTATTATATACTTATAGGTAAATTCCTTATATAGGGTAGATATATTATAAGTATAGGGTTAAATAATTAGACCCTTATTATAATTTTAATATTACTATATAATATACCCTCTAGATTATTAGAAGTTTAGTAGATTTTAATTAGATACTTAATTTAATAGTAAAATAGAATTTTAATAATCTTAATATATACTTATAGAGATCTATAAAAGATTATAACTTAAAATTAATATATATAATAATTTAAATTAGATTATTTAAACCTAAGAATATAGAAGTATTATTTATATCTTCCTTAGTTTTATTATAGATTATATATATACTTAATTTAGATATATAAAAGTATAGCTTTTATCCTCTTATAACTTCTCTTCTTTTACTTTACTTCTACTATAGATACTAAGCTTATAATATAGATATTTTTAAATATATTACTAGATAGGTAATTTAATACTTATCCTATACTTTATTTTTATTTATTAAAGTATTAAATTATCTACTCTAAACTTATATTTCCTTTCCTCTTATAACTATATATATCTTAATAACTTCTTTATATTTAGATTTCTAAACCTATATATCTTATTCTTATTCTTTAAGTTTTACTTCTACTATCTTTTCTTCTTTATAAGTATTATAAAATATTTACTAAAAAGAATATCTATATAGTAAAAACTATTTAGGCTTATAATAAGTCTAAGAATAAAAGTATATTCTAAGATTTCTTCTATTCTCCTAATCTATTTATCTCTAAATCAGTTTATTTAAATAACTATTACTTTTAGTAAAGACTTTAGTATTCTTATTACCTAGTAATAGATTATAATTCTATATAGCTTTCTATTAAAATTATATACTTAGCTTCTAAGATCTCTATCTCTATATCTAAGAAGTATACTTTAAATATTTTTTTTATTAGCTTATTAAAATAAATTTATAAGGAGTTTACTAAGTATAATAAGTATAATATCTTATACTTATTTACTCCTACTATATATTATAAATTACTTAATAATCTAGATCTATATATACTTATAGAAGTTTAGTTTAATAAATCTAATCTTTCTTAAGTTTTACTTAATATCTTTATATACTTATTATATTTATTATAAATATAAATAGTAAGATAATAAATACTAGAAAAGGAATAAACTACTTTTTATCTAAATCTTAAGATATCTTATACTAGTTATTTAATACTTCTAATACTATCTCTTTATTCTATATTTAGAATCCTTCTTTTACTAAATCTTTTATTATTTATAGAAAAAAATCTAAAATTAGTAAGTTTTATATTTCTAAGAAAACTCTTAAAAATAATAAGAATAATAAGTTCTATATATAATCTTTTACCTATTACCTATTAATTTATTCTAAATAATTTAATTAATATTTTAATAGAATTTTAAGCCTAATATAACCTCCTCTAATACTTAAATTATTATTTCTAAAGAGTTTCCTTTTAATAATAATCCTAATTTAGATATCTAATTTATTACTAAGTATTCTACCCTAATCTCTAAAACTCCTTTAAAATCTTTTATTAAGAGTAAAGGTAAATAATATACTAATTTAAAGGTACTAACTTCTATTCCTATATATACTAATAGACTTATTCTTAATCTTAATTTTAAAGATCTATATAAATACTAATATAGATATTATACCTATATTTATATCTTTAATTAGAGTACTAGAGGTTATTATAATAATCTTTATAGTAGAAAGTATTATCTATCTTATATAGATAGTAATATCTATACTATTTTAAATAAATAAATCTAAAGCTAGATAAATAAATATTATAATACTAAGTATAAGAGTAATAGTATAATAAATAATACTCTTTTAATTACTTTATTTCTCTAACTAACTACTATTTTTCTCTTAAATAGAGGGTTATATATATCTATTCTTTATTTTATTCCTTTCTTATAAAGAGAAAGAATACTATTAAGTAATTTTATACTTTTAGCTAAGTTCTTATAGAGGAAATACTTACTATTACTTAGATTACTACTATAGAAATACTAAAGGAGAATAATTTTCTTCTTATTACTTCTTTTTATACTACTTCTTAAACTAAAGCTAAAGAGGGTAATAAGAATAATTTAATAGATAAAAATATCTAAAAAGATATTTCTAATTATAAAGTAAGACTAAAGGTAATAGATTTAATATTTAAATAATTTATTAGTAAAATAATATCTAAGGATATTTTAAGTATAAACTTTTAGAATATAGTACTCCTAGAGTAAATATAAATAAATATAATTAATTCTTACCTAAAGATATATTTAAAATTAAAAAGAATACTTATTTTATCTTACTTTTTATCTTAGAATTCTTTATAATATATTTATATAAATTAATAAGTTCTAATATTTACTTAAAATACTTAAACTATTATTATATTAGAATTTTTATTAAACTATCTATAGATATTTTAAATATTAGAATATAAGATATTTTAAAAGTATCTTTCTAATACTCCTACTTTAACTATATATTCTAAATATTAATATAGTAGAAGTAAGTATTAAGTTTTTTATTTTTATACTCTACTAATTAGATAGTTTAAGTATTATTATAAAAAACCTCTTATAATACTTTTAAGTCTAATTAAATATCTAAAAAGAATCTCTATATTATATATATCTTCTTTATAATTTTAGATAATACTAGGAGTTCTATTTCTATAATTAATATTATAATAGTATATTATCTATTTAACTTCTATAGAATTAATACTCTAAATAGTAGAATTA